TTATCTCTATATTAACGTCTAAACAGGACATTCGAAAATCGTCAAAACACGTGCAAATGACGCTACTGCCCCCTTAATATGGCCTCAAAACTGAAAAATTGATACTCTCAGGGGTAATTTCGGACATACAAACGTCACGCCAGGGAGAGTGGGTATGTTCTGAACACTTTCTATTTCGCAGGGTTTGAGTCGTGGAAGCTGAAGAGCTCCTCTGAAAGATAAAGATATTCGGATAACAACGATTATCCCTCACTGCCACAGCGGTTGCTTTGTGAACTTTGACTTTCATAAACAAAGGGTCAAAGCTACGTCCTTAATACTTATTTCTATGAACATATCCTACCTTAATGTCAACGACTGTTTTGTGACTTTTTGGGCACGAAGTAGCCTTATAGTATACCCAGGATTCAGCCGGCCCGAGATTCAATTTGTGTGGCCCTTTATGCATTTCGGAAATTGTCAACGATTTTAATGAGATTTTGCAGACTTGTAGAACTTTGAACGCTGATTCTGATGCTGAAATCTGGTTAAAAATTTGGTGGCCAATTTTGAGAAATTTGCTGTCAAAATCGCCGTTTCCATGGCAAAACTCGACTCGTCAAAGGAAAAAATACGATTTCAAGAAATCCTAGGTGTCACGAAGTCAATATGGTTATTGCGTAGGAGTGTGGAGAAAGGAAAAAAGTTGTGTAAAAGGGATAGGGGGTGGTTTGGGTACGAATGGCAGTGGTACCAGTGTGGTCGATGTGCCACCCGTCAAAATTTAAACTTCACTCTACCAAAAATGTCCTGTCAATGCCGTTAATTTATTACCAGTTTTCACTGTAGGTCAATTCACAGTGTTTACTGTGATCTGCTCACGCGATTCACTGTGATCTTGTTCACGGTGTTCACTGTGATCTGGCTCACAGTAAACACTGTGAGTTTGACGCCGCTGAGCACCGAAGTGCTGCAAATCAGGCTCCAAATCACAGCGTTTACTGTGGCCAGATCACAGTGAACACTGTAACCGAGATCACAGTGAACGCCGTGAACTAGTTCACAGCAAACGGCGTGAATTGCATAACAGCAAACATTGGTAATAAATTAACGGCGTTGACAGGACATTTTTTGTAGAGTGTTGGCAACAAAAAGAAATCAAAATGCCGTAAAATTCGAAAAATTCCAATGCTAATGTATTCCACAGTGGAACATCTTTGAAGTCAATCATTATTAAAATGTTCGTGGGGGAAAGGAGGCAGTAAATTAATTTTCGCGGGTTGGCAACAATCTTCTCGGCAACTGCGCCCTTGCGAAAATAGCGAAGCCGAAAACACGAGTAGTCGCGCGTTAAATTTGCCCCGCCATTGTTGCTGACGTTGAATTGTTTGGCTTGTTTCAAAAGGTGGTTCTCTAGTCATGTTTTCTTCAATTCTGTGTAATAGTTCTCATTCACAACGTAACAACACCACGACGGTTGGTTTGACAAACTTTATAAACTCAGGAGGGATGGTTTCGAATCGCAGGTGAGTCTTGTTCGAGGAACATGAGCACTGAAAGTCGCAAGGTGGAGCGATGTGGTCATCGTGCTAACTGAATGAAAAGAACCATCAAACAAAAACTAGAGCTAAGACAGAGCTAAGAAGTATAATTTTGTTTTATTGATTCAGTAAAGAGTTGACATACGAAAAAATTGTTCTATTTTTTCAATATTTTTAAATCTTTTCTTCAACATGTGTCCTCAAAATATATTCAGATATAATGTCATAATTTAAACAGATTAATTTTGTGGTGGAAAATACACATTGAAAATAAAACAAACACAAAACTAGGTCGTGTAGGTTTCCATGTTGGTATGACTGTGTAATGTTCCGCGCATGAGCAAAGACATTCCCATTAAAAATTTTCATCAGGCAGTGCCTATGAAAAGACTGCGTCCAAAAAACCCTCTTGTGCTATTGTTACATCTGTTCTATCACGGTCGCGGAAAGTTTTTTTATTCAAACGTCCTTTTTTAAAGAAGCTACCGTTTTTGGGGTAACCTGTAAACAAGCGAAAAGGAGCCATGCTATTGGTTGGGTTTGGCTCGGCTCCCCCCTCTCTCTTCCCTTTTCGTTGACGAGTCGAGCTTTGCTATGGAAACAGTGATTTTGACGGCAATTTTCTCAAAATTTATCGCTAAGATTTCAACCATATTCCAGAATTGAAATCACGTCTCAGAATTCTACCAGTCTGCAAAATCTCATCAAAATCGTACAGAGAGGTTTCGACTTGCATAAGGGGCCACGCGATCAAATCCCAGCGAGGCTGAATCCTAGGGGATACTATAAGGCTACTTCGTGCCTAAAAAGGAGTGGGGGGAGCCGAGCTGGGGCGGACCAATAGCCGAGCTTCTTTTTGGGTCTGTACAGCTTACTCCAAAAGCTGAAATAGCACGTTCGAAATGAAAAATTTCTTTGACTGCAGGTAGACAAGATGCAACGATAGAATTGGTGTCGGTTCGAACGCAGTTTTTCGGGTAGAACTATCCAATAATACTTCTTGATCAGAGTGTTTTTGGACATGCGCAGTAGGTTTGCAACCTGTTTAACAGTTTAACCAACTGTAGCATTTGAAATCTGTATTAATTTTGCTCTCTTTCTTGTTTTTTCTTTGTTTCCTGCTTACTAAAATTTATATAAAACAAATTTTCAATTTTTATGTGATAACTTTCTAAAAAAATATTCACAAAAAATTAGCAAAACAAAAGTTCTTTTTTTGGGACATAAAGTTTCTCAAATATTACTTTTTTTTCTGTCAATAAAACAATTTTGTTGTTGTTGTGATTCAGTTAGCACTAGGACCACTTCGCTCCACCTCCGACTTGCTGTGCTCATGTTCCTCGAACAAGACTCACCCGCGTTTCGAAACCATCCCTCCCGAGTTTATGAAGTTTGTCAAACCAACCGTCGTGGTGTTGATACGTTGTGAGGGAGAACTATTACACAGAATTGAAGAAAACATGACTAGAGAACCATAGCCTTTTGAAACAAGCCAAACAATTCAACGTCAGCAACAATGGAGGGGCAGTTTTAATGCGCGTCTGCTGGTGCTTTCAGTTTCGCGATTTTCGCAAGGGCACAGACGCCGAGAAACTAGTTGCCAACCCGTGAAAATTAATTTACTGCCTTCTTTCTGCTAAGAACATTTAAAAGATGTTTTAAAGATGTTCCATTGTCAGAACACTGCGGAATACATTAGCATTGGAATTTTTTGAATTTACCAGCATTTTGATTTCTATTTATTGTCAAGTTTAAATTTCGACGGGTTGCCACGTGCCCATCGACCACATTGGTACCACTGCCATTGGTAGTCCCCTGAGCCACAACTTCACAACACCACTTCTTTTCTTTCTCCACACTCTTACACAATAATCATATTGACTTCGTGACTCCTAGGATTTCTTGAAATCCTCCCCCCCCCCGGGGGGGTGGGGGGGGGGGGGGGGGGGGAAATCAGAGAGACTCATCCCAGTTTGTGTCATAGAATGGACTAGAATCGACTCTTAATCTGCATTCATTATCGAAAAAAAACATTTTTGTTCAAAATTCTGTTTAAATAGTTCCAAAAATTGTTTTTATTTTTATTTTTTTTAAGAAAAAAATGGTGTTGAATATCTTTGACAAACTGGGCACATTTGGTGCTTTCCATTTAAAAAATCCATCGAAAGAGTCTTCAGTGATTTCAGAGGCCAAGTCCAATGACAAAAATTTACTGGTTACAGTTCCTCCGCCGCACAGGTCACATTCAACATTTTTCAAGATATATACAAATAAGAGCGATTTTAAGACGGGGACCACTTGGGTTGGGACGGGATAACCCCGGGACGTATTGTGCCGGGTACGAGTCGGTCGGGACGAGTTGTCCTAGACCCAGAACAAAAGTATTTTTCTCAATATTTTATACCTCACAATACACCAATTGCAAGGCCACTTTCATGTAATACTGGAAAGGTCAATAAGCTTTGAGGTTGTCAACAAGTGACGACAGAAATATTTGCAGTGTGTCCCGACATGTAAGCAACCTCTTTAGGGCAGCAGAGTTTCTACCCGTTGCGCTTGCGCGAAAAGGAGTTTGGCGTCCTGTCTTGACGAGAAAGTAGACTGAAAAAAAAGTGTAGTTAAATTTACCACACTGATCCTAGTTAAACGAGCATTAGTTGATATGACTAGAATTCTTGTCATTTTCACTAGATTTTTAGTTACATCTACCAGTATGGGTATGGTAACATTTACCAGCCATCTACCGTAGTTAAAAACTCTGGTAGATTTTAGTTAACTGTTTTGTAATTGTCACCACACTTAAAATCCAGTTAAATTCGATAATTTTGTAACGTACTGCACCCACGCAGTCCCCAGCAACCTTCAAAGTTCCGCTTTGAGCCGAAAATCCCTCCTTGATCATAGCATGAGATGAGCGCGGCTGGACGACGCACAGAGTCCTCAGGTGATGGAGCTGTGGACCCACGTGTGGCGTGATGGCGCAGTGGTAACGAGCTTGGCTCGTATAAAGAAGGTTCGAGGTTCAACTCCGGGCAGCGCTGAGGCGGAAAACGATCGCGATTCAAAGTTGCGTAATGCTTGCAAGTGAACTTGAACATCACCTTCATTTTCACATTTTCTTTCTCTTTTTCTTCTTTATTGGCTGAGCGATAGCGAAGCCCTTGCCGTGTTTGGGCGCGCCGAAAAGTGACTGGTCGTGCGTCTGTCTGTGACTCTGTTTGTACTCACCAACGATTCTCAGCAACTACAGTGGCTATAGTTTCAAGATTTCGTACTTCAAGTCGCCTTAGCACCCCCAACACGAGTTTGTTTCAAATCGTTGTTTAGTATCGTTTGAAATATTCAAAACATATTTTTGAATCAGGTCATTAGCGTGGTTAGGTTGGCAGCGCGGCACCGCTTACCAATTTCTCATACCTGCGGGTCCGCGGCTCTCAAATACGGGACATAAGCAAATAAGCAAATAAAACGAATTAAACTCATAAAATTTAAGTCCCATAAAATCTTAATCCCATCACAATGAACTTTGTCGCTCCATTTTCTCACTATGCTTATATCCGCAATTTCACAACTTCGTTACCGTAAAGAAATGTTCAGCAAATACAACAACATTTACCTCATATCCAATAAAAACATTGATAATCAAAATGAAGGCACCAAAAAGTAACATGTTGGACGAAAAGGGAAAAAGTGCATCGAACGGACTCAACCGTTCGTATGACTCTGATCTATTAATTTTGCTATATGTTAGACCATTTGCTGTTACAGTAAACCGACTTCAAATGACAATTTTGTAAACGAATTTGTTTTTTTTTTTTTTTTTGGTGTAACACGTTCTGTATTATGTCATAAACCTAAAACTCAAATTAACATAGACCCGAAAACTACGAAAACTACAAAGCTATGAAACTACACCTAAACTCTCTCTTCTCACTGGCTAACCACCGGGCAGGGACGCTGGCTCCCATGTGACTTATTGCAGCGACTGCTCAATGGAAAGCGTGATGGCAAAAGGGCTGATTCTTCTTCCTTTTGCAAAATGCTGATGTTGATGCCAGCACTGTTACACGGCACCGAAGGTAACCACAGTGGGCTGCGGCAGGCGTTGCACCTGTCCGCAGCTCGCGCGACTTTGTGTAGCTGCAAGTCAAGCGCCTGGACTTTGAACCAACGCTTCAAGGTTTTAATTCAGAATTTGAATTTTTCAACGAATAGCGTGGTCATTTCTCCAAATCCCTCGGCTAAGATAGGGCGCGCCAAACGCCTTCCCAGTTCTGTCCGGCCGCCTCCCGTAGGACTTGGCGTGGGCAGTCGTGGCCACGCCACCGACTGTGCCTCCTCATAACATGACTCGGCAATTTGAAAGAAAGTATGGTTTTGGCGATCCGAAAATGAAAGTCTGGACGATACTCCGTTCCTCGCTGGTTCTTCACTCATCTCGCCATGCTTGAAGAAGTATAAGTCACACAGGAGTGAGGCTCCCAGGCACACGGTGCCAGCCAGAACCCTATTCTAACGATTAAGTATAAACAGGCTTAAGAATACATGCTAAGATAAAAAAAATGATTAGAAACTACATATAATCCCTAAACCTTATGCTTATCATGGGATTTTGAAACTTACAGTCGAGCAGCTTGCCTACGCATATTCTGCATCTCGACTTCATTGTCCGTAGCAGCTGCTTGAGATTGCTGTGCGTCTGCTGGAGCGGCGAACCTATTAACTACTCTCCTGCCACAGCTCCATACAGTCGACAATAAACTTGTCTTAGATTCAACGTAATAAGCAAATGCTGCAATCGCAGCTACAGTGATTAAGAAAAAGAAAATGGTCTCTATCCACCCCGATTTATACAGAGGCATTTTTTTCCATGAGGACCCTGTGGTTCCGTAAGGCGCAACAGTAGCCAGCTCTATTGGGGGTAATGTAACATTTTCTGCCAGAAGGGCGATTGCATGATTTCTCGGCACAAAGACTTCAAGCAAGGAGAAGTCTCCTATATCGGACCAAGAGTTGTCAACATTTACATGTGCACTGATACCTTTAGGCATGACGCAGGCATGGCCTGCTGGGATAACTGTACGTTTTGTAGTTCCTTGCTGCAATAATGAGCAATAACATGGTAATACAATTTCATTCCGTCCAGAGGACAGCATTTTAAGGCTACTAATAATCATATTTTGACATACAATTTCTAGATCAGTAGTGGGATTAAGAACTGAGAAGTGATCAGGACCAATTGTCTGAACAGTATTCTCTCTTTTATCTATGCAGTTAATTTTACAATGATTTTGCAATTCGGCCACCTCCATTCCCATGAGGATCTTGTGAATACAGTTTGTTAAACCATCGTTGTCGCTCACTCTTGGGAGCACCTTTACGAGTTTGTTGTGAAGAACGTCCTGATCATTCAGTGGACGGACCGACTCCCCATCCGTCGCCAGCACAATGCTTTTGTCTAGAATTGAACATGTTTGAGAATTTAGCAGGAAGAATAATGGCTGGATGGAAAAGATGGTCCACCTGTTTCCTGTGGTCGTTATCGGTATTTGGAATGTCACTTCGAGACTGGTTTGAGAAATCAGGTTACATTGAGCCGTTTTTAGCAGATAATACAAATCAAGTTGGTCGTGTGGGATGACAAGCGTCAAATCCCCTGCGTTAAGCAAAATGTTTTTAGATCGTAAGATCCTCCCAAGTTCTCCTTCGCTTATAGCTAAACGGTCAAGTACATTTGCCTGGCAGCTATGATACACAGATTTCATAGCCAGGAGGTGGCTTTGAAGCATATTAATTACCGTTTGTAGTTGCATTGTCATGACAGTTTTATGGAAGATGATGTCAGCCTCGTTGGCCGCATCATTAATGGATGTAGCTAGTACATTGTAAGCCTTTGAGTATTCCGACATCATTGCCTGCATCGATTTAGAAAGTCCCTGTATCTGAACTGCATGCACGTTCGTAACTGAAATCAAGTCCTGAGTTTTATTTCTGATAGCGTTAACATCATTCCCCAAATTGTTCATACTATCAATTACTGCATTGAGTTGGTCTTCTGTTACTGTTCCTTCTATGTAGTTTCTAATTCTACCAAGGACTGGGAGCAATGCCCTCCTATGTCTAGTCGCAACCGGCCCTAATTTGGAAAATATCTGCGAAAGTTCACGAATGATTCCTTCACTAGTTTTCTGCAAGTTCTCTATTACCAAGCATACGTCCTGTTTATGTTTTATTTCTGCACAGGATACTGTGTCCTTACTATTCATAACTGTCATTGTTGGCAAGTTTGCCGTCATCTTGATTTCTATTAGGTCCGTTGCTACTAGCAGGTGGGGCAATGCTTTTACTTGCAGCCCCTTTGATTGCAGTACATGCACTTCTCTATCATCATAGCAAACTATGTGCTGCCAGATGGCTGCACATAGAATTAGCCACCACCAATGCCACATCTAAAACAAAATAGAGATGAAATCCCAATTATTAATTGATCTTGGCTCTAAATAACATTCGTTAATAATCATTACAACAATTTTTTTTTCATAGTTTAAAAGAAATTTGAGAAAAAAAAAATGGTCAAATCTAGCAGTCGTAGAGGTCACAAATGGTACATATGAATCTCTATATCCAAGTCTTGAAAGACTTGGTACAGGGACTCTATGACCAAATTCAAGTGAATTTTGTCCAGGCCAGCTGCGATCTCTGGCATTGCGAGGACACCAATGTTGTTGTCCACAACAAATGACCGCAGTGCGCGCAGCGAACTTTGCAGCGAATCCAGTGTAGGTAAGTGCCAGTAACGTAATTTAGTGATTAAGTTAACAATGAAGCGGTGGCTTCGCCAAACTGCGACTAGGCCACCCACTTCTCGCTCTGTTGCCAAAAATTCTGATCGAACATTAAATATTGATTGCACTGTTTTTGCTATGCCGGCGCCCATTTTACCGTCGTATGATACACAGTGAACAATTGGAACCCAGTAAGGACAATCGAAGAGATCGCCTTGGTGGTGAATTAGGTGCATGATTCTGAAATCAGAGAAGATTTAGGAAACGCTGTCATCTCACACAGAAGAACAACAGTGAAGCACATCAACAGAATAAAAAAAAACGAATCAGTCTGGTTTTTCAAACAAAACAGGATCAATAATTATCAAGGCATTTTCCCCGACGCACACAATTTGCACGCCCCGCGCAATTCATGTCAGTATATTTACTACTGTAACCTTTGTTGTGTACTTTTAAGAGTGATTGTTGTTTTTGCTTTTATTTTTGTGTGTTTGAATTTGTGGCTGTTACTCTAAAAAAAAATTAAATATCCTTCTACTAGCTGCAATACTTTCTTATGTATGACTCTCATTACTCATAACTCTCATTAATCTTTTTCATGTTTTTATTATAATAGCGGACTTCACTCAATGGGGAAAAAAAAACATTTACATGTAAAATGCATAGGCCTACACATGTCAACAAAGAACGCAATAAAAGTTTAAATTGGACATCAAAACTCCCCTACTTTACCCTAAACTTAACTAATTGCGCATCAGTCTTTATTCTCTAGCATTAAAATTACAGTTAGGAAGTCCAGTCTATTTTCAAAACGTTCTTTTTAAATTTTGACTCTCTCCGTGTATATTTTTATTATTTATCCTTTAGTCCACTCATATATTCTTGTTATTTTTCTCAATGCACTCTATTAACAGGGATAGTTTCATCCGAAAAGATCCTTGTTGAGAAAGAAAAAAAAATACCCTAGTAAGAAAGTTATTGTTTTAGCTAGTAAAAGCCTTACAACGGGAACAATGGGATTGTTCCATCAGAGGAAAAAATACAGAAAATCTCGTTTTTACCACTTACTAACTCTTTGGGTCTGCTTACCTTAATTTTTAAATGACTGACATGAGTCAATCTTTTCCACAACCTACCAGTCTTCTCCCTGAACGCCACAACGTACACTAGATTTGAAATCTTTTTACTGATAACACCTATTTTGAATTTAGGTTGGAATTTTAGTGGGTTTGTTTTACTTGCCTTGCTCTCAATTCTCACAAATACAGGCTGGTTTTTCTCAAAAGCTATGTCTTTTCTCCCTTTATCATATTTGCTTTTGTATGTCATCTGAGCTAATCTTTTTGCGTCAGTTGCTTTCCTCCTAATTAGTTCTAGCAAATTTATTCTCTGTTGCAGTGTTTGTGATTGTGGTAACACTGTCTTCAAAGTGGCTGGCTCCAACAGTTGTTGCCCGAACACCACTTCATTTGCTGAAAGATTTGTTGCCAGTTGAGGTGCGTTATTTAGATGAAACTGCACCAATGGAATATATTTCTCCCAATTTCCTAGCCTAGTTTTCTTATTATCTATTAGAAACCGTAGGGCTCCCGGGTGGAAGGATCTGCAGTTAAAACTATATGACAAAACAGGAGTTTTTCTGATGTAAAATGTATTGTTTTAAGTGAAAAACAATTTAAAAAATTAAGAAGTTAAAAGTAACTTTTAAGAGAAAAAAAATTGTAGTTAAACTGTAGTCAACTGCAGTAAAACTGCAGTTTAACTATGCAAAAACTACCAGTTATTTGGAACAACTAAAGTTTCTCCCTCATTTTCTTGCTAGTTAAACTGCAGTCAAACTGCAGTTCAACCTTAGTTTCGAACAACTTAAACGCCATTTGAAGTAACTAGAAAGAGAGTAGTTACCGGAAAGAGAGTGAAAATTCAATATAGAGCCTCAGCTCTGTTTTCAAGTTGCCACCTTAGGTTTCCAACCTTAGATGTTAGTGAGTGGGGTCACCTCCTCTCGGAGATGATCACTCGACAAAAATGTACTTCGCATCGGGGACTGATGCACTTGGGGGCACAGCGGTCGGAGCCTAACCAAACTACGACCCGTAGCCGTACGCGAGAGGAAAGTTGTACTCAAAGTTATTTCCCTAATATTCCACCTATCGAGGTCAATCTTTTGTGGTAGAGTCATAGCATCTCAATATTTACCCTGCACAGAGTTTGATCCAAAAATATTCCTCTGATCCTGCAAGACACTTTTAACTCGAAGACGAAATGATGCGACACTAGCGCCACCTGGCGGATGATGCACTAAGAGTCCTTTTTGCGTAGTCAATATGTTTTGCTCCAACTTCCCAACGAAATTGTTTATTTTTACTACTAGCATGTAATATTATTTTTTTAAAAAAGGGTAGATGAAGGACTTAACAGAATTCTTTTGATTTCGATTTAATAAAAAGATTCAAAACTAAGATTTTCTACATCTTTTAAACTACAAGCATTTTAGAGTAATCCTATGTAAAGTGTAGTACTCTTCATGACACTTGCATTATATGACCAATTTTATTTTTAACTGTCATTACAAAGAATGTAAGCGCAAAATATTTTGGACCTTTGCGACAAGTCAGTTTCGTAAACTTGTCGCAGACTTTGGGTTACTTTGTCTCTTTAGGGAGGCTTACTTTAAAAAGGGAAAACTTGCATAAAGTTTTAAACAGCGAACAACTATACCATTTAAAGTAAAGCCAACTGTATTAAAAGGTATAACCTTAAATGTTTGGTTTAACCTGATACTTTTTTTAAAGGAGACGACAAAATATTCAACGTAAACCTCAACTGCTTTAAAAGCAATGAAGCAGCACTGTAATTCTGATTCCCCTAGTGGTATGTACTTTTACTTGATACAACTAGAAGATTGCATAAGAGTATGGAAACGTACTAGTTTTGAGACATAACTATCAACGTTAGTATGTCGATAAGAGATATGTTTAAAATACATACTAAGTACGGAAACATACTAGATGAGAGCAGTTTTTAAATATTTATTTTCAGCAGTCGCTTTACTTCCAGAATGTATATTAGTAAATTGTACGAAATTAACTGAACCTCCAACTGAACTTCAAATCAACACTAAAACTACAGTGTGATTGACAGAAACTACAATTTCAACTGCAAAGTGGATTGTGTTTATCTTCAGTTTCTTTTAAAAAACTTGTTCAGGAACTGCAGTTTTTGGTACTGCAATTTGAAACTACAGTTTTCTAATTATCCTTAGACCCGGGGCTGCCACGACCCTTTTCACCTGACTCTCCACTCTCCCACTGGAGAAATGAGCATTGCTTGGTGACACTATTAATTCTATTCCCAACTTACTTAGAAATTGATGGAACTCCTTGCATTTACTTTGTGGTCCTGCATCAAGGTGAATTTCACGACACAGGCCATACTTATAAAAGAAACCAGTGAGACCATCAATCAATTCCTTTGTACATGCTTTCTTACACTCCTTTAAATAAACTAAGTTTGAAAAGTTGTCAGCTATTACTAAACACCACTTAAATCTATTATTAGCAGATGTAACAAAAGTGAAGTCAACCCCCAAAGACTCAAATAAACTACTAGATACCCTATGTTGAAGTTTACCATATTTCGCATATGCAACTTTGTATTTACCACACATCTCACAAGATGCAACATATTTAGCAACTAAATCATCCATATTATTAAAGAAATAATATCTACGCAAAGCTAGAAGCATTATATCTCTCCCTGCGTGGAGTGACAAGTCATGGAATTGTTGAAGTACCGCTGGTATTATTTTTTGTGGTACAACTGTCCTTGGCGGAACAGTATTTGTTACTAGAAGTCCATGACGCATAGCATATTTTGCAATTCCTTTGGCCTTGTCGGTCTTGTTTGTTGGCTTACCTTCTGAGTCAAATGTTTGTATTATTCTCAATAATTCCTCATCCTCCTTTTGAGCTGCTATAAACTTTCTCAAAGCTGGAATTACCTTTCCTGAATCCGTTCTTACTTCAATGCAAACTAGTAGTTCATGTCTAAGCATCATCAAAGCTTCACCTAGCTTATTTGAGGAAAGAACATCAACACATTTTGGACAAACACAAGTACCTAAGAAATTATCACAAACAACATTTGAATACACAAGCATTTTAGGTCTTGTTTGTAGTAACCTCTCTGCCAGCTCACTGTGGGGTGCAAATTTTAATCGTAAACATTGTTCCAACAAACAAAAGTTCCACATTTCATTCTCGGTTTTATTCATTTCCAATGCTTGGCTGATTGATTGATAACTATTCCCATTGAGGTCAAACTCTGACAATGCCGAATTACAAAGAAAGTGATTAGGACCCTCAAATTTTGAGATAGTTGTTTCGAGGCTTAGTAAATCTTTCCAGTGGTCTCGCACGTCGTCTGCTTGTTTGTTATGGTGCGGCGCTCGAGGAGGCCGTGCGAAGCTACCGCCGCCTGATGCCGCGCCGTTTCCCGGTGGAGGGGGAACTTTGCTGTGCTGTGGCGATGCCACTGCCGGCATCTCTGCCCGATGCGCGACATTGCTAGCCTCACAGCCAGGGCGCGCCTGCTCTGCAGAAGGCGCCCAAGCAGACGATGCAACAGGGAGACTCTGGAAAGAAGGCTGTGGGCCTTTATTTACCTTTACAGTTTGTGCTGAGACCGGTCCAATTTTAGGCTCATCCCCGGTCTGCATTGGAATTTTATCCATTTGATTGTCTGGTTGATTCCGTAATTTGGTTGCACTGCGTGTCATCACAGGCATAACATGTGAATTTAATTTGGTTATCAGCTTGTCTGGTATTACTACATCCTCTACTGATGTTTTGGGTGGGTCTAGCCTAGATAATGCATCTGGCACTTTATTCTTTTCACTAGGAATTATTTCAAAATCAAATGAGAATTGAGCGAGATAGGAAATGAATCTATCGAAAGGTGCTTTGGGGCTCTGCATCGACAACAAATACCTTAGAGAACTGCAGTCAGCCACCACAACAAAGTGTTGCACTAACCTCAATTCATTCTCAAAATACTTTATGCCCTCAAACAATCCCAAACACTCTTTGTGGAAACTTGACCATGCTTTCTGATTTCCTGTTATAGGTTGAGAGAAGTAACCTACTGGGAGGTAACGGCCTGATCGCTTCTGAGAAAGCATTGCACCCAGATTATCCTTGGAGGCGTCGACCCATAATTTTGTTTCCAAATTTTCATCAAAAAGAGCCAACGTGGCTTCTTTGAGCAGGTAATTATACATATCTTCAATGAACTTCCTATCTTTGTCTGTCCATTCAAAAGGAATTTTATCGCATGCCATGTCATTGTAAATTTTCACGTTAGCTCCAAACCCTTTCAAGTATCTCCTATAATATGAAAAGAAACAAATCACCGATTTCAGTGCAGCACTATTTTTAGGCTCTTTCAAAGCCAGTAATGGCCTGAAACGCGAGGGGTCTGGTTTCACTGACTCCCCCGCTGTAACAATCAATCCTAGGCATGGAAGGGTTTTCCGAAACAGGATTGCTTTATCTGGACGCAGTCTGAGGTTGTTTTCTTTCATCCTTTGAAGTGTGTTTTCAAAGAGTTCCAAAAGCTCTGTGAAATTTTGACCACCTAATAGGATATCATCCATAAAATAAATTGCACCTAAGTTTTTCAAAACAATGCCCATTGCTTGCTGGGCAATCATGGGTGAGACTGAACAGCCCTGGGGTAGACGACCCCATCTTAGGGCTTTATTTTCAAAATTAAACCCTAACAATAATTTAGATTCCTCTGACATTTCTATAGTGAAGAAATAGTTCACAACATCCATTACACAAAGCAGATTCTTGTCTGCACAGTAAGCCAAAACCTCTTGAATTGTATAACTTTTATATTTTGGCTTCACCAGAGCTTTGTTCAACAATCTTGAATCGTAGAGAATTCGCCCCTTTGGCTTCTCAGGGGTGCTGTCTCTTTTTTCTATAACAAAAAAAGGAAGGGAGACAACACTTGGGCCTTCCTCAACAATACCTGTTCTTTGAAATTTTGGATTTCTTGTTTAGCTATCAGCTTTTGCTTGGCTGACAGCGGCCACTGTCTACGGAAAATAGACTCATTGTTTGTTCTTTCCAGGTGCCCAACTACTCCTGGGATTGACGCTCCTGGTTTCATCTTGTAGCTGAAAACTTCTTTGTATTTCTGAAGAAGTGTGGAAACTACTAATTTTTGAGAATCATTCAGGTCGGAATTTTCAAGGGATGGGAGTGCTGGTTTCTCGTCACCGAGCACTGCATGACAATGATTTTTAGGTAGGTCTATCTCGTCTAATGACAAAATATGATTCTTTAGTGCATATTTTATTTCCGCTAAATTCGTCTCCACTAACACTGAATCCGGAATGTTTGCATCAGCAGGATCTACAAACCCTACAGGAGTATGTTTTGAAATTAAAATTTCACCATCACTGCCATTGAAAACTGGAACATTGTTATCAACCAGGATGCACTCCATACTTGTAACTTCTGGATTACCTTTCACTAGTTCTGGTGTAAGTATAGCGGGAAAAATGTTTGGAGTTGAAGTTTGCACCATTCTGTAAGACTGCGGAGGGATTAAAACGTCCTCGGCTGCCAAAAGACTAACCTGGTTGTCGAATTGTTCTGAATAACCCGACTCACTCAAGCTGTAGTCACTATAGTCACTATAGTCACTATAGTCACTATTATTGTCATCGAAATATCCTGCTTCTTTTCCTGAAGCGCCTTTTCCTGGAACTGCTACTTGCTGGGGTTTTGGGGCGGGCTCTGCTGGGGATGGGGTTGTGTTACTCTGTCCAAATTTAGTGGGGACCTCAGGGCATACAAAATTAACATTTTGAATATTTTCCTCATGTGGTTCCGGTACTCTAGGCACTGTAACCGAAACTCCGTCCATTTCAAACGTGGCTGTTTTTGTTTTCCACGAAAATCCTGACTTATATTTTTCCATAAAATCATTTCCTATCAATAAATCAATCTGCTGGGGAAGGGGGGCGACCACTGTTGCATGGCGCACCTGCGCTGTGCCAACAGTGAACGCAGGACGGTACATTCCGTCCACCGGCAAGACTGTGTCGTTTGCCGTCAATAATTTCATTTTTACAGGCTGTAAAGCAGCCGTATTAGTACAAAATTTAGAATTTAAGATTGTTCTAACAGCTCCCGAGTCCAGAGCCGCTTTAAGTTTCAGTCCATCTATTTTTACAAAAATTTTAAAAAGTTTTCCTACTTCCAAATTTGAGACATTCAAAATTTCCCATTCCTCTTCCTTGAACAATTTAGACCGATTTTTAGAAACTGGATTATTGCCCATCATGAAACAGTACGTGTCACTTTTCCTCACATACTGCCCATTAAATGTGTTAAGAAAATCACGTCCCAGCACTGCTGAGATGCCTGGGGGGAGAGGTGCAACAACGAGTGGCATTGTTGCTTGCATTTGTGAAGCTACTTGAATCAAAGGCTGAGTGATGCCCAACATTTTATGGGAATTTCCCCGAATCCAAATTTCACAGTGCAAAGGCATTGGGGCGACTTCCACCCCAAGGCATTCCTCCGGCGCCACAACAGAGCACAGCGCCCACTCGTCAACAATCGCAACAATTGATCTGCCATTAATTTTGACCTTGAAGGGGAATCCCATCTGGGGCTCTGATAGTTCCACTATTTTAATGTCACTTAATTGTTTCAGGAGCTCTAATTGTTCTGGATCGTAATGACAAGAACAGAACATGACCTGGCACGGCTCCCCCGGGCAGTGATTTGGCGCAATCAGCGATCCCATGCTCGCCGGCGCGGCCGGACGATGCGTCTCAGGTTGCATCGATCCACCATGGCCGCCGCCGGCCACCTGCACACTCTCCGGTGACACCGCTCCACGCCGCTCCTCCGCTTCGGGCATTTTCCACTCGCCATTTCCGCAAGCAGGGAATGCCTTCGCCCGGGAGCTCGGCGTGGGAGCGACATCGGAAATGCGAGCCGCCGTCTGGAACTGCGTCGCCCCGGCCCGTTCGGCCGCGGGGGCAGGGTTATTGCCCCGGGGCCTCGCGGCCGGCCCGGCGCGCGTCCCCGGCGACCGTGCATGCGCCTCACCACGTGGCACGAGTGCGTCAAAATGACCGCACTCCAAACTACCTGAAAATTGCATGAACACCGTGCGTTCCTGCAAACCGCCCTCCTCGGCGTGCTCGCGCACCTCGTCTCCTCTTTTCACCACGATTCTGACTCCCAGCATCGCGGCTGCAGCTCCCAGTTGGAGCGCTGTTGCCATTGTATCCCTCTTCCTGTGCTCCTCATAGTACTCCATCTTACTGTAATTAGTTACAAAGTCACTATAGTAATCCCAATTTTCCTTAACAAAGCTAGCTAGAGTCTGGCGTAGTGCCTCGCTCTTGTCAAAAGTACCCCACAGCCCAAAGGACAACGCTTGGTAAAAGCAAGAGCCGTCCGGGACTGTTTTAATTAACTCTAAATTACTTAATTCTAGTCGTCTTTGGGTCTCTGCTTCGCGTCGCTTCACTTCTGCTGAAAATTCTGCCACTTCGGGCACCCAGCCAGCACATGGTCCGTGGCGTTGCATGCGAAGCATGCGCCACGGCCTCGGCCTCGCGAGTACTGCTGGCCGCCGGCCCCATAGGTTTGGGCCGGGCCCCCGTACCCGCCTGAAAACTGGCCTTGTTGCTGCTGCTGAGGTGCCCCGAAGTACCCGTAATTTTGCTGCTGCACGGGTGGCATGTTCGAATACCCATACACCTCCCCGCCTGGGTTAAAATTACGTCCCCAATTTCTGCCTGAATTGTAACCTCGGAAATTCTGATTCGGCCTGTAGTTTGAATTTCCCCGGCCACGGCCGCGCCCCCTGCCGCGACCACGGCCTCCCCCAAGAAACATTGTCAGAACTTGATCCAATTTTTCTTCCTGTGTCTGCTCTTTTTTCTCTGTTCCCACTGACAAGCTTTCTAGCTTTTCCAGAATTTTCTCTTCAATAGTTTTTTCTTTTGGCTTTCCAAAATTTTCTAAGAGTGCCAGTATTTTTTCAGCAGTTGCGCTGCTGCCAGCCGCTTCCCCCCTGGGTTACCTTGGCTTGCAGCAAAGCTTCAATTTTGTCTAGTCTATTTTCAAGCGCAGGGGCTCCAGCTGCCGTAGCTGCAGTCCCCTCATTTTTTTCTATAAGCGCCCTGTTCTGAATTGCATCATTTATCCTTGTAATGAGATCTCTTACTGTTTCACACCCTGCATTGACGACCAACCGCGCGTCCTCTTTTGGTATCACTTCCATCAAAATTTTCACCTTTTCTTTTTCACTGATATTTGCCTCATTGGCTGCAATGGCATGTACTCTCATTATAAATTCTATTGTTGTTTCTGAGGCCTTTTTCCTCATCTGAAGCATCCGCATTCTGAGTGCGCTGGGTGAAGTGTCAGACTGGCAGTACTCTACTAACTGCTGTCTGTACTCCGCCCAAGGTCGTTGTAGTAGCCCTTCATGAACACTTTGTAGGTACGCTGGCAAGAACTGTCCCACGTACGGGACTATGTCCTCTGCTCTTATGCCGTGTGCTACGTACACCCTGTTCAAGTGATCTAGCCAGTTCCCTACACTGTCCGCGTCAAACGGGCGCACAGTCGGTTGCAACGAGGGTGGCAAGTTTCTTGCTGCCATTCTTGCCTCTCGTTCTCTTTCCTCTGCTTCCCTTCGCTCTCTTTCCTTTTCCTCGTCTAACCACCGCAAGTAGTCAAAAACCGCGTTTGCAAATTTAGTGATTAAGTCGCAAGTTTTCTTTAGAACGTCAGTTTTTGTGTACTCCCCAGCGTTCTCCCAGCCTCTAATGGACTGGCGAACAGAGTTGATTGACAATGTGCAATACGGGATCCACTCGTCGACCCCTTTCTGTGTGGCAACTACACTAAAACCCGGTAAAGTGTCTGCCCGCGCTACTTGTGTGACGATGAATGTTTTGTAAGGTGCGTTCCTCGTGTCTCGCCTCGCTTCCTCCTGCTCAAAAGCGATCGGAAATGTCTCAATTTCTGTGAAAATTTGTGTGCCTATCGAGATTCCGTCTTGTGGTTGCCAAAAATCAAGATTGCACGGCGCGAACACCGGCTCTTTGCCGTTGCCCAGGAAATTTTTAAACGGTTCTAGCGCTGGGTGCATTTCATTTTCTTTTGAAAAGTAAACAAAACGGGAAATTTTACTTGATCCTGCCTTGCTTTACCAACCCGATTCGAGTTTTAGAATTCCGATGTACTAACCTGCTGTATGCCTCCTGTGATGATGTGTATCCAAAATGTTCACTGGTGACACAACAATAAAATTTAAATTTTGAACTTTCTTGTCTTATTTCTCGGGCTCTCAGTGCCCAGCACACTGGACTTTCACTGCACTCTCACTGCACTCTCACTGCACTTTCACTGCACTCTTGCACTCTCACTGCACTTTCACTGCACTGCACTTTCACTCCTCGCAAGCCGAGTCGCCGAAGGCTTGCGGTGCGCGCGCGAATTTTGACGAGAGAAAAAAAACAAACCGAAAAAAAAATGAATTTAAAAAAAAACGAGAAAAAAAAACCAGACGAATCTGAACCTCGAGTTCCCGGCCGGTGCGCCAAGATGTTTCGGTTGTGTATTTTCCGGGATTCGATAAATCGAGTCAGATTGTGGTTCAAGACGTGGACTATATTCCAAAGACACTGTTCCTGCTGGCTCCACACACACCACCCTTACTCTAAGCGTTCCTCCAGGCGACTGCCCGCCGCCCGTCACTCGGCTCGGCTGTCGCCTGTTCGGCTTCCGCGGTCCGCGGCTGATCAGTAGCGGTAGGGTTTTCTATTAGGGTCAGCAGTTATGCCGCGCGACGCCGCTTCCCCCAAATTGTCTTGTCTCCCGCAACACACCGGGCGGTTCTTAGGGTCACCCAAGGAGGCTGCATACCAAATTTGGTCAAGATCAGACCACGGGAAGTCCTCGGACGAACGAACGAACGGACGCACAGCATGCATCATACTATATGCCCGTCCCTCCGTCATATTTTTACAAAAAATAAACGGGACGGGCCAAAAAGAACATTTGGTACATCCAAAATGACCCTCTACGCACGGAATCACCCGAGAGTGTACACGGTTCAGGAGAGGCAGCTCCCCATGCGAATGCGATGACTCGTACCTGAACGATGGTGCCCGCAGACCCCATGTCAAACTAGAATCCGAAAACGAAGGCCAACTGGACCTCTCCACATCAAAGCTCCGGAAACTTCGCGCGGTCACGCAACCGCAGAGGGGCTTACTCCAATACTCCTCCGTACACGAAACCAATAATAACGATAATGCTGATAACCAAACCAGAAATTCGAGCCGTTTTGTGTACATTCGATCCATGAAGCGGGAGAAGGGAATAACTCGATTTTCATCATCTTTCAGGAGAAACAAAAATTGTTTGCAGGGTAAACTAAATAAAATGAGATGAATGATGCAATTGCGTTTTTGCCACCCCCCCCCCCCCAATCCCCCTTCCCATAAAAGATGCCTAAGAAATAACTGACAATTTTCAACATAGAAGACTTCTATGATTAAATCTTTTACCTTGGAATGGACTACGAAGTCATGTTTTACTTATAGGGGACATATTCAAGTAGTACCCTTTAGGGTAATTTTTTAATTGTTTTATTGTGGGCGCCAGTGGGTGCTAAAATATTTTGTCGAAAGTCTCACTCTCACTTAGGTTAAGTGCCGACCATGGCTCGGGGTACCAATCATGGATCATTTTGTAAGCGAAGCCCGTACCGCCAAACCAATCGACCAATTTAAGTTTTTCGTTTGGTCTACACATTAGACTACAAGAATCACGCGCGGGGAGCTGATCAATCTTACCGTTACCCTTACAATATGCAAATTAAAAGTGCCTCTGAAAAGGGTCCGAAACTGCCTGGTTTCAGGTTAGGTTAGGAGTCAAAATTCAAATCGTTATTACAGACGATCCATTCATCAGAATGTCTCAAAATTTTTTCGTGGCACCTTCAGAGGGTACTCTTTGAAATTTAGACGACGGAAGCTACCGAACGCCCCTGTCAAAACGCGAGGGGGGGTGATCCATGTTTGGGTCAGACCCAAATATTGATCACTAAAATCAGTGAAATTTCAAAGCCCTGTAAATTTCAAAGTATTTGTCATAAAATGTTCAGCTCTTGAGAGGAGGTTGTTTTTGTGGTCATCTTGCAGCGTATCAAAGAAAATTTGGGTTATCGCTTGTTTGAGCCGAGGACATTTCTAAAAAGTGATCCATGTTTGGTAACCTTACCCTAAACATGATTCCACAGCACAAGACCTTTAGATTAGCCATCTCAACACGTATGGAACTGCCATAGGGAAGCCAGGGCACCCCTGTGTTACTAGGTGCCCCTGTCACTAAGTGCCCCACCCTCACTCTAAGAAATTCTTGTAAAATGATGAGAAAAATTTTGATGAACACTTTGTAAAACGCAAAACACGACAATTGTTGTAAATTTATGAAAAAAACCTGGATGAACTATTTGTAAAACGCAAAACACAACAATCGTTGTAATTTTATGAAAAAAAATGTGGATGAACTATTTGTTAAGCGCAAATCACAACGATTGTTGTAAATTTATGAACAAAATCTGGATGAACTATTTGTAAAACGCAAAACACAACGATTGTTATAAATTTATGAACAAAATCTGGAGGAACTATGTGTGAAACGCAAAACACAACGATTGTTGTAAATTTATGAACAAAATCTGGATGAACTAATTGTAAAACGCAAAACACAATGATTGTTGTAAATTTATGAACAAAATCTGGATGAAGTATTACACGGGATGTTCATTCAAGATATATTTTTGGATGAACTTTATTGTAAGGCTCCAAGTACATCACTGGTTGTAAATTCAGGATACAGTTTTGGATAAACTTTATCGTAAATCTCCAACTACAATACTTTGTGTTAATTTACTTCAAAAAATTGGATTAAATTTATTGTTGTCACATTTTATGACCCTTGTTGTAAATTTATGAAAAGAAATTGGATGAACTAAGTTGCTTACGTTTACTTGTTTGAAGAACAGTAAAGCTTCACTTGAAGAGTCATTAGGTAGCTGGCTCCCCAGCTAGCGTGTGTATTGGTAGCTCAGTGGTAGAGACCGTGCACCGAAAGAGTAAAGTTGTGGGTTCAAATCTGTCAGGGAAATCGAAGTAAAACCATTGCAGAAGAAGGTGGTGTGTCATGACCGGGAGGTCATATTTTTACAACCAAAAAATCTTATTGATTTTACACATTTTGTCGTAAAATTAAAAAACGATACTTTTCTTCAAATAATGACTTTTGTCATATTCTACTGAGGCCAGAAAAAAAAAGAAACTTCCCCGATTTTACCAGTTTAGTTGTAATGTAATGACTTTTTTCTTCAAATTATGATTACTTCTGTATTCTGCAAAGGACTTCATGGATCCAGAAAACTGTCTTCCTTATGTCGTTAAATTACAAAACTTCTTGTAAAAATACGACGTGGTTGTAATTTGAAAATACAAAGGGTTTGTGATAGAAAATTTGCAGAGGTTTTGTTGTCATTTTACAAAAACATTTCTGAGAGTGCTCCCTTACGAATTATTTCTTCGTATAACGAAACTAACTAGTTTGTACTTTACAAAATGGTCAAAATATATTATAAGGCTTTATCCATGTGTAATTTGTATTGCCTTCTAAAAGTAGAAATGGCAGTATTCAGTAGAACAGCATTTGATTTTGCAGTGCAAGTGAGGCACCTCTATTCCACTATTTATGTCGATGGCGTGGCTCGTGTAATTTCCTCGCTCCTTGTTCGCTCGCCTCCCCTTGCGTCCTTGATAGTGACGGCGACAAACACCACTCAACTTTTTCCGCTTTGGAGCACCTATTCGATAAGGACTTTTTCCTTAAACCGTATCAGATACGGCAGCAATCACAGCAAAGAACAAAGTGGGTTTATGTCAATCGCAAATAGGCTTCGCACAAAATTGAACATGCCTTTTGAAATGCACGAATTTGTGGGTAACTAAGCACGAAAGTGTGCGTTGATGTGCCAAAAAATATCGTGTAATTTGAAACGCGTGCGAGCAAAGCAATATGCACAAAAAAGTACGTAGTAAATTGTGTGTGCGTCCACGCTCCTAATGTCTTACAATCAAATCTGTGCCAACTCGCAGTGAGCCAGAAGACCGGTGGAGGCGGCCAAAATGTTTGACGCGTTTTGGAGCTGCAAAGTCTTTAACGGCCTTTTGAGCTCGAGTCACTTGACAGGCCCCTAACCGAGAGTGTGACTCCCACCAAATGGATTCCTCGTTGGTTGGGTTCACTAGGGTGTTTCACTTTTGCAAAAAGTTTCGAAATCTCATGACCGCCGGGTGAAAATTGATTTTTTATCAAAAAAAAAAAAGTTTACGTGTTTCGGGGTTTTCCAAATTTCGCAAAATTAGAGGTCGCTCAACGCCTTTGAATAATTTAGGCTGTTTTTACTTAAGTCCAAAATGCTGAAATCGCCAATTATTGACCGATTTGGACCATTCTGGGCTCATTTGAAAGGTTTTGAGCTGTACTTTAAGAATCTGTGGCCAGAAATTCGATTGGAGTCGTTTCTAAGGCTACAGAGCCACGTTTGTGTTTTTCAAGGCCCTAATTGCAACTTTGCGCGACTGTATCTTCGGCAGTTATTAACCGATTTTTCCTCGCGATATCTCAAAATGATCGTCAGAGTCTCTTCTTTCCAACGGTGTGCTTGGATTGTCATTTGAAGCATTTGCCTAGTTTCTATGAGGCTCGAAGTAAAGATATGCGACAAATTTTCATGTTTACCGTACACTTCTTGGACGAAAAGTGTACTGACGAGAGCCGATCTTCGCTTACACCCCTATTTTCAGTTGCGCATGATGCTTTTACCACCTCAAAGCTGGCTGGTGCTGCTACAATGGCTCCAGGGACATAGAAATAGCGTTCGATGTTGAAATCTCATCACTGAGATTCCAAACGCTATGAGTATAGCGTCAATTGGTGCAATGCAAAAGCATTGCACATGAAGTGCAATGCCTCCCCATTCCCATGCATTAGCATAGGGCCTTTTCGGGATGCATTGCACGTAAGGTGCAATATGGCTGAGGCATTGCACGTATGGTGCGATATCTCAGCTGCATTGCACCACACGTGCTATACTCATAGCGTTTGGAATCTCAAATCATTTGGATGTTTAGGTCAGTGCTTCTACACCTTCTATGGTTTAACGTCTCCCCGCGACATTCCAAAACAGACTTCAAATTCACATCTTTCCGAAACTGTGGTTAATCTTTAGTTTAAGTCTATTTTGTATCAAAAGATGGTCAACGCCTTTGAGGGTAGAGGTCTATTTGACCGGTTTCTACCGATTAGAGCTAGATAGCAAGCAACACTCTTTGTGGTTATAAATATACATTTTCAGGGGATTTCACTGTGCACCACTGTCTGTGGACCAATGGATGCATTTTGCTGAGCTAAAAGTCAACCTGCCCATAATGATTTTCACCAACACTTCACTGTAAAGATAAATATTCGGAATATACGAAGAAGCCTCTGGTGAAGATTTTAGCCAGAGCACTTTCGTGAATTCACGAATAATCTTGGTAATTTAGAAATGTGCTTCGTAAATCCACGAACATTCATCGTGAATTATTAAGATTGTTCGTATATACACGAAGATTCACAGTTTTTGCGAATAATATTTGCGAATTTACAAAGAAACCTTTGACTACAGTTTTGCCCGAGGCAGCTTCGTTTATTCCCAATCTATTTCTTACAGATTGTTCTAAATGAATGCTCGAATTTGGATTTGGAGAACTCGCCACAGCCTCTCCATCGTCCAGACTCCGTGCTCCATCCCTCTTACACGACTTTTCGGGTCTATAGGACTTCGGGTCAGTGAGACAGGAAAATCAACAAAATTAAATCCACGGTAGTATCGGGTCTGTGACATTTCGGGTCAGTGGGAAATCGGTCCAGTGCGACTACCTCTGCGGTTTAAAAACTTTCGCGCTAGTGAGATTTAGGCTCTGTGACAATTCGGGTTAGTGACACTAAATTTTAGTTATGAATCAACAACACTTTTGAATCGGGTCAGTAGGAATTCAGGTTAGAGAGACTTTGGGTGTGCGAGAATTCGGGCTTGTGTGTATACGAATAATCTTAATAATTCACGATGAATGTTCGTGGATTTACGAAGCACATTTCTAAATTACCAAGATTATTCGTGAATTCACGAAAGTGCTCTGGCTAAAATCTTCACCAGAGGCTTCTTCGTATATTCCGAATATTTATCTTTACAGTGAAGTGTTGGTGAAAATCATTATGGGCAGGTTGACTTTTAGCTCAGCAAAATGCATCCATTGGTCCACAGACAGTGGTGCACAGTGAAATCCCCTGAAAATGTATATTTATAACCACAAAGAGTGTTGCTTGCTATCTAGCTCTAATCGGTAGAAACCGGTCAAATAGACCTCTACCCTCAAAGGCGTTGACCATCTTTTGATACAAAATAGACTTAAACTAAAGATTAACCACAGTTTCGGAAAGATGTGAATTTGAAGTCTGTTTTGGAATGTCGCGGGGAGACGTTAAACCATAGAAGGTGTAGAAGCACTGACCTAAACATATGAGATTTCAACATCGAACGCTATTTCTATGTCCCTGGAGCCATTGTAGCAGCACCAGCCAGCTTTGAGGTGGTAAAAGCATCATGCGCAACTGAAAATAGGGGTGTAAGCGAAGATCGGCTCTCGTCAGTACACTTTTCGTCCAAGAAGTGTACGGTAAACATGAAAATTTGTCGCATATCTTTACTTCGAGCCTCATAGAAACTAGGCAAATGCTTCAAATGACAATCCAAGCACACCGTTGGAAAGAAGAGACTCTGACGGTCATTTTGAGATATCGCGGGGGAAAATCGGTTAATAACTGCCGAAGATACAGTCGCGCAAAGTTGCAATTAGGGCCTTGAAAAACACAAACGTGGCTCTGTAGCCTAAGAAACGACTCCAATCGAATTTCTGGCCACAGATTCTTAAAGTACAGCTCAAAACCTTTCAAATGAGCCCAGAATGGTCCAAATCGGTCAATAATTGGCGATTTCAGCATTTTGGACTTAAGTAAAAACAGCCTAAATTATTCAAAGGCGTTGAGCGACCTCTAATTTTGCGAAATTTGGAAAACCCCGAAACACGTAAACTTTTTTTTTTGATAAAAAATCAATTTTCACCCGGCGGTCATGAGATTTCGAAACTTTTTGCAAAAGTGAAACACCCTACTGTGACATCACACATCACACACTCGCCTCCGCATCGATACATCGATAGATCGACTTACCTGTCATGGCGTCCAGCCTTCTGCTAATCTGTTTTGATTTCGTAATTGGAAGCTGTGTTCGCGAATACATTTAAAAATTTACTAAAGTAAGACCGATTTCAAGTGGTTCGCGTGCCTTCGAGTGCCCTCCAGTGTGGAGATATAGGTAACTCGCGCTGCTCGCTGGGGGCTCCGCCCCCAGACCCCCGCATATGTGGAGCGCGTGCCGAAGTATTTTCAGTAAGTCCGTGGTGACCAAAGGCAAATTTTCTAAGGAAGAAAATGTCCTGCTTCTTTGAAAGCTCTATTTAACCGCTTTTGACCATAAAATAAGGCTACTTTTACTGCCCAAATAGATAGCTTGTATTGCATTGGCTACTGTGGCAGTCAATGGGTGCATACAAGGTCCGGAAAATATTGAAGACTGCTTTGACAAGGATAGAGGTGAAAGGAAAAAAACCTTAGGTCTCTACGACCACTCCTTGACCCGAAACATTTCTTTGAGTGAGTAAGTGAGTGAGTGAGTCAGTCAGTCAGTCGGATTGGGGCTATATAGATTCTTGATAATGATGATTGCCCAATTGCCGGTGGCGGGGTCCCGATTACGGCACAGTTTCGGAAATTCTCGACCAGACCTACCGATGGGGCGAATAAAATTTTTTAGTCATTCGGTCCCCTTTTTAGAAGATTGAGTAGGTTTGCTCGGAAACAGTGAGAAAGTTTCAACTTTTGAGATTTTTCTCAATTTTCCCATTAAATTTGGAATCGAATGGAAAAACCCGCAGGTCTCTACGAACACTTCTACCACAAACATTTCTATGAGTGAGTGAGTGCGTCAGTCAGTGAGTCAGTCAGTCGGATTGGGGCTATATAGGTTCTTGATTGATGAGTGAGGGAGTCAGTCAGTCGGATTTTGGGGTTTTATAGGTTCTTGATGACAATTGATGATTGATTTTGAGTATGTTGCCGGTGACGGGGACCCGATTGCGGCCCAGTTTCGGAAATGTCTCGACCAGACCTACCGATGAGGCGAATAAAAATTTTTAGTCGGTCGGTCCCCTTTTTTGAAGATTGAGTGGATTTTGTTGAATTTAGGCCTATTTAATCGTTTTTGAGGATGTTGCCGGTGACGGGGACCCGATAGCGGCACAGTTTCGGAAATGTCTCGACCAGACCTACCGATGGGGCGCATAAAAATTTTTAGTCGGTCGGTCCCCTTTTTTGAAGATTGAGTGGATTTTGTTGAATTTAGGCCTATTAAATCGTTTTTTGAGGATGTTGCCGGTGGCGGGGACCCGATTGCGGCACAGTTTCGGAAATGTCTCGACCAGACCTACCGATGGGGCGAATAAAAAATTTTAGTCGGTCAGTCCCCTTTTTTGAAGATTGAGTGGATTTTGTTGAATTTAGGCCTATTTAATCGTTTTTTGAGGATGTTGCCAGTGACGGAGACCGGATTACGGCACAGATTCGGAAATGTCTCGACCAGACCTACCGATGGGGCGAATAAAAATTTTTAGTCGGTCGGTCCCCTTTTTTGAAGATTGAGTAGGTTTGCTCGGAAACGGTGAGAAATTTGTTCCCCTTTTTTGTAGATAAAGTAGGTTTTCTCGGAAACGGTGAGGAATTTTCAACTTTTGGGATTTTTCCCAATTTTCCCATAAAATTTGGAATCGAATGGAAAAAACCGCAAGTCTCTACGACCACTCCTTCACCCCAAACATTTCTATGAGTGAGTCAGTGAGTGAGTGAGTCAGTCGGATTGGGGCTTTATAGGTTCTTGATTTGTCGCCCACCTGCCGGACGCTGCGACGAAAAGCATGGAAACTTGGGTACGTGCAGATGACGGCCTATTGTGCCTGTATTTTCGGTCCGAAATTAAGCCGATCATTCGATGAGAGGCCGAAATTAACAGTGACGTGTGTCGTAGAACAATTGCAGAACGCCTTTGTATATGAAGCTCGGCGGAGTACCCCCTCCTTATCGTATGCTCATTTTAACCTGCGTGCCCGGGTCACTGGTCACATTTCCCACTTGCGTTTTAATTTCAGTTCATGGATTTGAAGTCCTGGAGCAGGTGGAAGGGACGGCTTATTGCTTCTTGTACCGGAGGGGCACCCACTTTCAATTCTTATTGCCGCCATTCACATGCAGTCGCGACACTCAAATGTTGCCCTTATGTCCACTTCACTCAGGATGCTAAGTCACACCATCTCGCACTCATATCAACGTTTATATGCTCTACTCTTCTTGCAGCCTGTGGTGGTGCTGGAAAACTGCACCGCTTTTCATGGACATCATGGGCAGGACCTGGATACTAACCTCATACACCAACCCCAGCCCGTTGTGAAGCTGGAAGCACTCCGGGCAGCCAAGAAGAGGAGGCGAAGCAGGCGACTCTTTTTCAAGAGAAGGAAGTACTTCTATGTCAAAGAGGTGAGTGTTATGCAACTGAAGTACAGGCATTGGTCGTTTTTTTTAAAGAGGGGGTCTCTTTGTTGTGTGATGTGGTGAGAAAATTTTTGCCCAGGATTAACTTTACATCCTGGATAGGTGTCAACTCACACAGTCATTGCATTGCATTGTGTATGTGAATAAATATAATGGTTTTAGATGTGGCAACCTGTGACATTGTGACTGTTTGCAGGCAGTGCCCATCATGAGCTTTTGTGGGTGGTCATGTGGGGAGAGAACCGAATCACTGGATGGGGAAGAGGATTTCTTGGGCTTCAACGATCATGACACCCTAAGTTCCCACATCATCTCCGCTCAACATCCAGCATGGGAGGGTGAAGATTTGTTAAGACATTAGTTTAAGGGCAAATATGTTACTTTGGGTAAAATAATGGGTTTGAAAAGGTTTATGGCGTTGAATAGATGAATTTGAATTCAGAAAAAAAATAGGTTTTCGAACAAAAAAAAAGTGCTAGCTATGATTGTATTTCTGTGGTTTGTATGTGATTTCTCTTTTTGAATTTGTTATTTCTGTACTTTTCTGTATTTGTAATATTGGCTCCACACCACTCATCAAAACCGTATTTTCGTTAATGTAATTCAAAAATTTACCATCTAATCAGTTTTCAAAATGTTAAGTGGTAGGGTCGGGGCGACAGCATTTCCGTGCGCCGCGGATGTTGCGGGAGACAAGACGATTTGGGGGAAGCGGCGTCGCGCGGCATAACTGCTGACCCTAATAGAAAACCCTACCGCTACTGATCAGCCGCGGACCGCGGAAGCCGAACAGGGCGACAGCCGAGCCGAGTGACGGGCGGCCGGGCAGTCGCCTGGAGGAACGCTTAGAGTAAGGGTGTGTGTGTGTGGAGCCAGCAGGAACAGTGTCTTTGGAATATAGTCTTACGTCTTGAACCACAATCTGACTCGATTTATCGAATCCCGGAAAATACACAACCGAAACAGGTGGCAGCAAATCCGATCCGAGCCCCGGGGGCGCTGCTGCAGGTGCATCATGGTCTACATGGGGTCGAGGAGGATCTCGGCAACGGATGCAGCTAGCAGGGCATGTAGGGGTATTTTTGGAATCGGTGCGACGAGAAAAAACCAATGGTGCCAGTTTCGAGCGAATCGGAGAAGTTCGGACCCGGGTTCAAATCCCTGCGGGGTATTTTTTGAACATTCTTTTTATTCGATTTTTGGCATTGTTTCTGATGTTTTTGAGGGTGCTGATGACGAAAACGACATTTATTATAACCCCAGACTCAGGTTTAATTCCCGTCAGGGTCAAACATAGGCGAAATTCGTACGTGTCTTAATTTACGGGACGGGCCAAAGTTGCCGATGTATATCGCTACTTTTCCTCTTATTTAAAGTTCAACTTTAGGGGCTAAATTTGGTGTGGATGGCATACATGGTACCCCACAGTACTCCTCTGAGCGTGGCAGCGCTACAAGTTGACTTTTAATTTCACCCCATATGGAATACGGCGGAATTTACAGAAATAATGACGGAATTTACGGATTACGGAATTCACAAAGCGAAGTGTTTAGTCTCCTGACCCGCTGGGTTACAAGATAGGTAAAAACTGTAGACGGTGTCATTTTGAGCATCCAAAATAGCGTTTTTCAGCGAAGGTTGTGGGAACTTTCTCTCTCAGATGGAGAAGCTACGGCCCGAAACGGAATTTACACCTATTTTTACACCCTTACTGTTTTGAACAATTTTGACGGCCTGGAAGCGTCGTTTGACCGCCCCAGGTCCCGCGGGCATGGGCTTCTGGAAGCGTCGTTTGACCGCCCCAGGTCCCGCGGGCATGGGCTTCTGGAAGCGTTTTCTATGTTCTTTCGATCACAAGTGGTCGCGAGGTTCTAAAACGAAAAGGAACCCCAGTAGACCGTCAGTTGTGAAAGCAACATAAGTCACATGGTCACACGGTGGACAGGCTGTGTCGGGTTCAACAAGTGATGGTCACCTTTCGTAATTTTGCGAAGAATGAGTCAGGGAAGAGAGTGAAATAGCCAGTTTTCTTTTGATGTGGCTGAGTCATATACTACAGCATGACAATGTTGTCTTATAGGTGTTGGTGACCATGACGGAACTTACAAAACGACACTTTAGCAGCTTACGAAACCTAGAGAAGCAAAAGTTAGATTGACTTATCCACATGAGGACATGGTCTTCGTTTAGTGAAACAAATTTGAATTGCCCAAGCTACCAAATTAACCTAGGGGTAATTAACCTAACCTAACCTAACTTGCGTGTCCTACACTGCAAAAAATCAGTGTCTGATACGGATCATGCTACGGCGTTCCGTATGCCCCCTGAAATGGTGATACGGACATCTGCCGTACCAGTCCTCCCATAAGAGCCTGTGCTTTGTAAAGCGTGGTACGGAAATTTAACGGAAAATGTACCGCTAATTTTACACCGCACTGTAAGGGGAAGTCGTATTTTTACAACTTTATTTTACATGAATACCATCGTAATTTTACAACATAAACTCGTAATTTTACGAACGTATTCGTTATTGGCTAAATACAAAGGGAAATTTCACAATTTTGCACACATTTTTACGGTTAACCTTGTAAAATTACGAACTAAAGCTGTAATTTTACGAAGAATGTCGTCATTTGACGAACGAAAGTTGTCATAATACAAGCATTATCGTAATTTTACTAGTTTGATTGTAAATTAACGAGTAATTCCCTGTTAATTCTGTAGGACAAATTGTTCGTAAAATTACAAAAGTTTGTTAAATTACCACGAAAAATCGTTATTTAACAAGGAAACATCGTAAATTTACAAAGAAAGTCGTAAAATTTTCAAGGTACATTATTAGTTCTATTTTCACGTTTTTTCGTCGAGGCAAACCAAGACCAACCTGAAAATAATATGGTTGAAGATTTGAATTATAACGACTGTACTCATTAACTTACGAACAATTTGTCCTATAGAATTAACAGGGAATTACTCGTTATTTTACAACAAAATCCCTAACAGTGCGGAGGTTGCCGTTTCGGTTTTCCGTTCGTGAAATAGTCCAAAATCCTCTACGGACGGTGAGGAACGGACGCTCCGTCACTCAAATTTCTATAAAGGATAACGTGTAACGGCAAGTCCGTATCCCTACGGAGTGACCGTTTCATGCGTTTCGTCAGAGAACCTTGCGCTACGGAGCGTCCGTGTCTCACGGCCCGTAGAGCATTTTGGACTATTTCACAAACGGAAAACCGAAACGGCAACCTCCGGTGTAAAATTAGCGGTACATTTTCCGTTAAATTTCCGTACCACGCTTTACAAAGCACAGGCTCTTATGGGAGGACTGGTACGGCAGATGTCCGTATCACCATTTCAGGGGGCATACGGAACGCCGTAGCATGATCCGTATCTGACACTGATTTTTTGCAGTGTAGAAATATTTGTCACTGGAAGTTCATTTGGTGGTCGAAATCAGGGGGTGGCAACGGCCTAGGCGGCGCGTGAAACGATGCTCCCCGCTCGGGCCGGCGAGCGACGCGCGGCCGACCGCTGTGCACGGTGTCACTAAAATCAACATAACTTCATCAAAACTTCATCAAATTGAAAAACCCAGGTCATTTTCAGCATCTACACAAAATTTCCTATTTGTATGTAGTTATGGTTTACAGTTTTAGACCCGTTCAAAATGTTAAATCTCAATTTATAATCAAATTTACCGGCAATTTTAGCCAATTCAATATTTTGCAACGACGAAAAAAGTGATTTCCGTTCGTTTTATGTCCATACATGCAGCGAGCCGATTGTTGGCCTCCACTTCCCCTATTGCGTAAGCATACTGGAATGCCGATACGACATCTGTGACGGTCACGGTGGCCCATAATGTAATTTGCAAAATTAGACCAAAAGCAGTTAGACTGACTTTGGGAATATTTTTCGTAGCTCTTTCGCACTTGTTTATCGTTCTGCAATAGCCTATACCACGCAGACTTTAATTCTCTATCGCCCTGTGGTAACGGTTTTTCAAACGGACGTTTCAGTTTTCACATTTCGAATTAGTTTTAAAACACTGCAAACTAACCCTAAAAGTACACGTATTTGGTAAAGCTTCACTTGAAAAAACTAGGTGTCGTATCGCAAATCTGACTTCACCACGTTGTAGAGCGGACAATTCTACATGCCCCCGTCAAGCTTCATCACAATCGGTTGATTGGTTTGAATGCTTCAAAGATATTTCAAAAGGCAGACGACGCTTGGGCTTGGCGACGAGTCGGGTCACGCAGCCCAAGTATGAGAAATCGCTGCGGCGGTTATGTCGTCATAGTTGCCGAAAATTGAATGCTATCATCAAACTAATCAACCGATTGTGATGAAACTTGACGGGGGCATGTAGAATTGTCCGCTCTACAACGTGGTGAAGTCAGATTTGCGATACGACACCTAGTTTCTTCAAGTGAAGCTTTACCAAATACGTGTACTTTTAGGGTTAGTTTGCAGTGTTTTAAGACTAATTCGAAATGTGAAAACTGAAACGTCCGTTTGAAAAACCGTTACCACAGGGCGATAGAGAATTAAAGTCTGCGTGGTATAGGCTATTGCAGAACGATAAACAAGTGCGAAAGAGCTACGAAAAATATTCCCAAAGTCAGTCTAACTGCTTTTGGTCTAATTTTGCAAATTACATTATGGGCCACCGTGACCGTCACAGATGTCGTATCGGCATTCCAGTATGCTTACGCAATAGGGGAAGTGGAGGCCAACAATCGGCTCGCTGCATGTATGGACATAAAACGAACGGAAATCACTTTTTTCGTCGTTGCAAAATATTGAATTGGCTAAAATTGCCGGTAAATTTGATTATAAATTGAGATTTAACATTTTGAACGGGTCTAAAACTGTAAACCATAACTACATACAAATAGGAAATTTTGTGTAGATGCTGAAAATGACCTGGGTTTTTCAATTTGATGAAGTTTTGATGAAGTTATGTTGATTTTAGTGACACCGTGCACAGCGGTCGGCCGCGCGTCGCTCGCCGGCCCGAGCGGGGAGCATCGTTTCACGCGCCGCCTAGGCCGTTGCCACCCCCTGTCGAAATACAACCACATCGCAAACCGCAATAAAATTTTTCCGTCGGTCGACCCCCTTTTTCGAAGATACTAATCGTGCCAACCGCCCAAGGCGGGCTCGTAGACGCCCCTTCCGACCGGCTTGTCCTGTCAACCTCTATTCCGCCCGCTTTTCTCAGAAGTATCACTGAAAATCTACCGGCGTGACTTCGTGCCGCTGCAGGGGCGTGAATAAAGTGTCAGGCCATTAAACGGCATGACACAAAAGTCACGCCAAAAATCGGCGTGACTCAAAAATTCACGCCAATTTTTGGCGTGAATTTCTTGTCATGCCGCTTTTTGGCGTGACTTGCCTCAGAAAACGCGTTGTCAATCACGCCAAATGAGGGCGTGACTCACATGTCACGCCGTTTTTCGGCGTGAATTTCGTGTCACGCCAATTTTTGGCGTGACTTTTTGTCACGCCATAATTTGGCCATGTGTCCGACCATTACGTTTTCAGTGATCCTAATTCCATTTGCATCTGTGGTAGGTACGCCATGCCATCGCTGCGCCCCTTCCAGGAAGTGTGGGCACTCGCACTGCTACTGGCTTTTGACCACGCTCAGAGCAAACAAATCAACTCCTTTGCGGTAAGCTAACAAGGTAGTAGATGTACGCCAGAGAGGGGCTTGCAACAGGCTTCGCGATTCTGCGGCAGTTCCGACAATCCACGCCTGGCGTTTACACCTACTTTGACCTGAGCCTGTGGTGCTGGCCGCTGGCCTGCCTTCGGCAGACACTTTCGCCACTCATCGCCTCAAAGAGACCTGGTCGCAACCCCCCCCCCCCTTTCTAGTACGCGGCGACGAGGGTTGTTCGCTGGTCGAACTGCGTGACATTTTTGGTTTGACACCCTTACAACTCTGGCTAACTTTTGTCCCATTAGGACTCAGATCTGGGTCGGAGGTCGAAATGGATTCCACTTACATTGTCCATTTCATTATACAGCCAAAACGGCTGTCGCTCTGTCAACGGGGAGCAGCTATGCTGCAAATCTTAGTCTAGGGAAGGATACTGTGAGTTGGAACAAGCATGTCCAAGAAATATTTGTCACAGGAAGTTCATTTTGTAGTCAAAATTCAACAACTCTCAGCTGAATTTATTTCTAAAGTTGGAGGCCCCAACTCCTATTAGTTTTTGAGTTGTGGAGGTTTACGTATAAACTCTTAGTCGTTTCACCCAAATTCTCCTCACGTCAAAGGATTAGCTACCTAGTCTTAAGATTTTGACAATTTTATCTATTTTGGCATGGGAAAAAGATAGCGTTGGCGGATTTGAAGATATCAGTCGAGAAGAGGCTGTAAAAGATACTTTATCAGGCCTTTCATTACTTTTCTTCAAATTTAACAGATTTTGCCCTATTTCCGTCTTTTTGTTTTTTCAGTGAAACTCACACTAAATTCTTATGGACTTTTTAAATGCATAAGGACGCATTTTTTATGCATAGTTATGCATGCGCAGAAACGTCCATAAAGTATGTAAAAAATTATGCATCACTGTGTACATTTTATGCGTCTTCCTGCATAAAATGTACACAGTGATGCATAATATTATACATAACATATGGACGTTTCTGAGCATGCATAACTATGCATAAAAAAGTCCATAAGAATTTAGTGTGCTGAGGCAGATATTTGGAAAGGGGCAACGCTATCTTTTTCCTTCCTCAGTAGATAAAATTGCCAGAATCTGAAAACGGGTACCCAATCCTTTGTCGTGAGGAGAATTAGGCAGAAACGACCAAAAGTTTACGTAAACCTTATAAACTAATAGGAATTAGGGTCCTAGTCATAGTGTATGAGTTTATGTAATAGAAAGTAACTTAAACTTCTAAATTCAGACATCTCACACAAGTATTTGAAACATGTCAAATAGCCACCATTTTCACTTAATTATCTTAGACGTCTCAAAGCTACTTTGCCTACTTGTTCAAAATTGGGGGAGAAGACGCAGACCGAAAACAATTCGAGGGGTCCTATTCAAAAGATCTTATCTGGGCCTTCCCCCATGACAATCTAATCTTGAACGCAGGCGAATTCACTCAGTTTGATCATTTGATGCAGCTACAAATTTTATTAAATTCCCTGAAATGTGAAGATGAAAGATCAAAGAAAGCAATAGTGCATGTAGAAACATAATCCGCTTACTCTCGTCCCAAATGGTCAAACTGAGTGAAATTCGCCTGCGTTTAAGATAAGATTGTCTTGGGGGAAACTCCCAGATATGAGCTTTTGAATAGGACCCCTGGAATTGGGGTTCTTGGGAACCCCTAAGAAAAAAAAGTGTTCACTGAGGACTTTCATGTGTACTTAGCACACTCATAGAGGACTTAAGTTCAAACTCAATTTTTCAGTGTGGCCGGTTTCTGGAATCTCAAGGGACGGGTCAATTGCCTATCCAGCCAAATTCGTTACCATAGCTTCTTACGACAACTGTGCAAAAGTACAATATCTGGTCATGACGTGCAGCTTTTTTCTGCGAAGTCCACCGACTAGATCGGATCGGAACCCAAGTAATGTCGGAGTTGGTGTAAAATTTCACCGCTGTTGCTCCAGTAGTTTGGAAATGACAGCCTTTGGAACTGTTCTGCAGGGCCCATTCATCGCCTACGGCTATCGGGCTGACCACTGTCCGTCAGAAATTGTGTCGTTTTCCCTCCGGGTGACCCACTTCAACCCTCAACGACCATACGACCCACAGTTCTTATCCGGAGAGTTGACATTTCAAGAAGATTATGGGGACTATTACATGGTATGATTGAAGTGTAAAACAGCGTTTTGACGCACGGGCCGGACGGGGACGGGTCGGAATAGTTGATCCATGAAGCGGAAGAAGGGAATAATTAAACTTTCATCACTTTAAAGGAGAAACAAAAACTGTTTGGAGGGCTAAACTAAATCCAATCGGATGAATTTTCTGTCAAAAAAGCCTAAGAAATGACTGCAAATTTTCGTAAATGTAACATCACTCTGCAGACAGTTTCTGTGACTTAAGTCTTGAGGGGGCTCATACATGTTCAAAGCACTTCGTAAAAAAAAATTTGATGTAGAAGGATCAAGGTTATATGATTACTTTACGAAAACACTGGTAGAACTCAAGCGTAGTTTTACGCCTTCTAGCGTAGTAGAACTACGCTCGGCTTCAAGCATAGTTCTCCATTTTACCCCTCTCCCGCCTATCTAAATACATGGGAGAATTTCTTCTCTACGCTTGACGTCAAGCGTAAAGTCTTCAAGCGTAGTTGTATGCTTGAATCAAGCATACAACTACGCTTCAATTTTACCGGTGAACACTTTACGATAACTGAGTAAGTTTCATTTTGGCATAAAGTAAAGTGACTTTGGACCTTTTTAGGGGTTCCGACGAAGGAGGACCCCTATTGTTTTTGACGGCTCAGATCCTTTTCCTCCCCCCCCCCCCCCCCCCCTCGCAAATCGGAAAATGGCTCTCCCCAAACTACTCCTTATCATGATCAAACATAAACTAACGAAAATTTCAAAAAAATCATCGTGAGACTTTAACGTAAACGACTAAAACATAAATTTGCAACAATCGAAAACGAGTACCGTCGATGCTATCAAAAAATAGTTCAAGTAAAAAATGTGCCACTCCTCAAAACTAAACCTCCTGCTACATCAAAGAGACAAGAAATCGTCTGTGTTCTGAGAAAATGGTTAAAAGATGAAAAAAAGTCTCAATGACAACGACACGGTGCCATCGTACCAACAGTCAAAATTTAAAGTCGCCGATAAAAAGAAATTAAAACGCCGTGAAATTCGAAAATGCCAATGCTCACGCATTGCACGGTGTCCCGACATTGGAACATCTTCAAAGTCTGTCATTAGTAAAACGTTCGTAGCAGAAAAGACTCAATACATTAATTTTCGGGGGTTGGCAACAATTTTCTCGGCATCTGCGCCCTATCGAAAACCGCGAGGGTGAAAAAACGAGTAGTCGCGCATTGAAACTGCCCCTCCATTGTTGCTGAGGTTGGATTGTTTGACTTGCTTTTAAAGGCTGCGGTTCTCTTGTCATGTTTTCTTCAATTCTGTAACCAGCACGACGGTTGGTTGGTTTGACAAACTTTATATACTCGGAAGGTGTGGTTTCGGAACGCGGATGACTTTCGTTTGACGAACATGAGCACTGTAAATCGCGAGATCGCGAGATGGACTGAGATGGTCATTGTGTTAACTGAATCAGGTTTGGGGATGTAAAAATACCGGTAGGAATCAAAGTTACGTAAATAACGGTAAAATTAACGTTATTAACGCTTAGACGACAGATTTCGAATTGATTTCCACTATCGGAACACCGTGCAATGCGTTAGCATTGGAATTTTTATTAATTTAGTAGGAACGTCTAAAATTTTGGTTCTCGTCAGACTTTGTTCCGCGAAACGGGGTAATTTCGGACACTCGGTGTATTTCGGACATCTCTGCCCGGAAGCATTGCGATGATGCTCCCATCCAACAGCGACCTTTGAGGCTTGTCCCTTTGCGCGCATCGCGTTGCCCACACTTAAAACCATCTAATCACTCACCCGGAGGTCAAAACAAGGGCAAACTTCTGGAGATAAAGTGGTTTCTGTATGTAACACTTTTTACCTGAATTCGCTTTAGGCGTGAAAACTTTGACTGGCAAGCCGAAACTGTTCATGGACGGTTCATGAGGTGATTGTTTGTCGGTTCGAACATGTTAAGAGCATGCTGTGTCAAAATTTCAATCACCTGGGTCAAATAGTTTGGTTAATATGGCCTCAAAACTGAAAAATTGTTACTCTTAGGGGTAATTTCGGACATACAAACGTCACGCCAGGGAGAGTGGGTATGTTCTGAACACTTTCTACTTCGCAGGGTTTGAGTCGTGGAAGCTGAAGAGCTCCTCTGAAAGATAAAGATATTCGGACAACAACGATTATCCCTCATAGCCACATTGGGTTACGCTTGAAATCAAGCGTAACAGGCTCATCCGCCAAGATTCCCCCTATCTAAATGCATGGGGGAATTTCCATTCCAGAGTATGCTTCATTTCAAGCGTAACGTCTTCCAGCGTAACTTTATGCTTGACTCAAGCATAGAGTTACGCTTTAGTTTTACCAGTGGTGAGAGTTGGACTTAGCGAATGGCTGCATGGCTCGCCGCCGGTTTCCTTCAATTGGAAATGCAAGGTTTTCCAGTGAGTCCCTGTGGCCCGAATCTTCATAATACATACGACACGACTACTTGCCTTTCATATGCATGTATGTAATCGTATGTAATCTCGAAGAAGAAGATTTACGATTCACTTTTGGGTAATGTAGTATGGCCCGGGTTGCATCTAAAAGCTCATCTGTCAATTTTTTTTTAAAGGCGTTCTAAATTGCTCTACTAGTTCCACCCACTCTCCCTGAAATAGAACTATTAGTTCAAGTTCAAAACCATGACTTCAAATTAAGTATGAATGACCCCCCCCCCCCACCACCACCACCACCACCACACCTCCACATCTAAACCCTTACGAATTTCATATACAACCATGGAAGCATTATAGAAAGAGACAATGCTCCATTTTGAGACCAAAATCAGAACAACGAGTTGCTTTTTCCGGGGGTTTCCGAAATTACCCCAAAACACGGGGTGATTTCGGACACTGCTTCGGACCCTCCACTGTAAAAACGGTGAGGCGCAGATATTTGAAATTAGCGCCAAATCGAAGCTAAAGGTGGGAAGATGATAAATTTTAACCCTCAAGTCCATGACACCACCACAACTTTCACAATTTCCAAAAAACCTCTCGAAAGTGTCCGAAGTTACCCCGTTTCACGGTTCGCATTTTTGCTCAGATCTAGGGGGGGGGGGAATCAGAGAGACTCATCCCAAATAGTGTCATAGAATGGACTAGAATAGACTCTTAATCTGCATTCGTAATCGAAAAAAAAAAACATTTTTGTTCAAAATTCTGTTTAAAAAGTTCAAAAAATTGTTTTTATTTTTATTTTTTTAAGAAAAAAAATGGTGTTGAATATCTTTGGCAAACTGGGCACATTTGGTGCTTTCCATTTATAAAATCCATCGAAAGGGTCTTCAGTGATTTCAGAGGCCAAGTCCAATGACAAAGATTTACTGGTTACAGTTCCTCCGCCGCACAGGTCACATTCAACAATTTTCAAGATATATAAAAACAAGAGCGATTTAAGACGGGGACCACTTGGGTTGGGACGGGATAACCCCGGGACGTATTGTGCCGGGTACGAGTCGGTCGGGACGAGTTGTCCTAGACCCAGAACAAAAGTATTTTTCTCAATATTTTATACCTCACAATACACCAATTGCAAGGCCACTTTCATGAAATACTGAAAAGGACAATAAGCTTTGAGGTTGTCAACAAGTGACGACAGAAATATTTGCAATGTGTCCCGAGATGTAAGGAACCTCTTTTGGGCAGCAGAGTTTCTACCCGTTCCACTTGCGCGAAAAGAAGTCTGGCGTCCTGTCTTGATGAGATAGTAACTGTTCACGTGAACAAGTAAACCGTGTGCCTTTCAGACAAGTTTCACCTTAGACAAGCGATCTAACAACCAATGGAAAGACAACTTTTTCATCCTCAAGTTCCCCAACGTGGGATGCTCCGTGATGCGCAACCAAATTCCCGACCTGTTCCGCATCTTCGCCAAACATAGTGGCAGGGGCGGACTGGCCCGGGGTTGGCGGCGGGGAAATCCCCCCCGGGCCCCCCGGTATACGGGCCCCCCATAGACCGAAAAACACAAAGTATTGTCCAGCTAAGTAACTCCAGAGCATACTTTTGACTCGGGATTTCTTCAAAATGCATCAAAAGTATCGATTTTAGCGTCAAAAGCTTAAAAAACTGTTGTTGTTCATGAAAAAACCCGGAAGATAGGCAAATCCGGGCCCCTCTGGCCTATTTCCCCGCCGGGCCCTTTAGGAGCCAGTCCGCCCCTGCATAGTGGGGCCTCTATAGACAAGAAGACGCCCTGTTCCATACCAGCGGTGAGTTTCGCCCGGGTGATCCCGCACGCATGGGCAAACACTGCAAGTCAAAACTTTCTTTTTAAATCATACTTTCACTTTAGGGCCAATTTAGTAGGTTCGGAATGCATTCAGAGTACCGTACACGAAGGGTGGTTAGGTACCATCTACCATGGGGGTTCGACATATTTTTGCAAGCAATCTCTCCAATTTCGATGAAATTTTGTGAGCTTATTGGCAACGGTCTGAGCAAAAACTACCAATTTTTGAAAAGTTATGGCTTACGTTAGAATTTTTCACTGTCTTTGCAGACCTTTTTTAGGGGTTCCCAAGAACCCCTATTGTCCGAGGTCCGTGGATTCTTCCCCCCCCCCTCTCCGATTTTCAAATAAACAACTCTAAACTATTTCAACCATAAAAAAAACACGAAAATTCCAATTTTTTTCGAAAATTCATCGTGGAAATTTTCCGTAAACGCGAAAAACATAAATTTGCAACAATCGAAAACGAGAACCGTTAATGATATGAAAAAATGGTTCAAATAAAAAATGTGCCACTCCTCAAAACTAAACCTCCTGGCTCATCAAAGTAACAAGAAATCGTATATGTTCTGAGCAAATGGTCAAAACATGAAAAAAAATCTCCATGGCAACGGCAGGGTCCCATCGTACCACCCGTCAAAATTTAAAGTCGCCTATTTAAAAAAATCAAAACGCCGTGAAATTTGAAAATGCTGATGCTAACACGTTGCACGGTGTCTCAACGTTGGAACATCTTTAAAGTCTGTCACTACTAAAAAGTTCGTAGCAGAAACGACGCATCAAATTAATTTTCGTGGGTTGGCACCAATATGCTTCCCGTCTGCGCCCTTTCGAAAATCGCGAGGCTGAAAGAACGAACAGGCGGCCATTGAAACTGCCCCTCCATTGTTGCTGAGGTTGGATTGTTTGGCATGCTCTCAAAGGCTGCGGTTGTCTTGTCATGTTTTCCTCGATTTTCAACCAGTTATGGAAACGGGAACACCGTGCAATGCGATTAGCATTGGAATTTTTTTTTTTGAAAAAGCTGCAGTTTCTCCAAAAAAAAAAGAGCTGCAGATCTCATCCTTAATTTGGACTTAAATGTGATGTTTGGCTTCTTTCAGTGGATACAAAAGTATCAAACATGAATGAGGAACATTTTCATTACGCTGAAATTTTGAAATAAACTTTAACTCTAGAGCCCTGAAGGAAGTTTTCCAGCCGTGTCATGCTCGCGTCGCCAACTGAGTACCTTGAGGACTACCTGGTATGAGCAGTTGCCAAAATTCGGGGCACTTTTGAAGGCCATAGAACCGCAGGAAAAAAATGTGGGAAAGTCGGCTTTTTTCTCGCCCAATTTATTCAGTGATGTTCCACGACTTATATCTGAACCGAGGGGGGAATAACTCCCCCTTTTGGTGAACACATGATTGGGTCATTCTACAGAAATGTTACAATTTCGCAGTTAGAACCGTGAAAAAATAAAAGTTGTCCGATTTAATTCATATTGGGCTTGTTTTTCTTGTTTCGTCATGCAGAATGCGAAACGATATCAAGCGTCACACTTTTCGAGAAAATAATTTTTCTCCACTGAAATCATAGGGGAAATGTCTACGGAGTTTACATAAATTGACGCCTACGGAGTTTACATTTTGAAGCAAATACCTGGATTGCAGCCGTATGAGTTGGAACAGTAGAACGCGCATACACAGCTGACTAAAGGACCACCAAAGCATTGTTTTTATCCACAATTCGAAAGTTTGACGCACAGGGGATCCGTGGCAAATCGGGTACGGAGTTTACATACAAAAAAAATACGCGACCCTTTTTTTTAAATTTGAGTACCAATCAGGTGCTAGCCATTGGACTCACATCCTTCAAACTTGGTGGCTAGATGTGTTTTTTCATCCGGAATCCATTGCAGTCTTCAGATTGAGGCTGTGACTTCCCGTTTGTCTCTTGTAGTGCCAAACTCGTTACAGTGCACATGTGGATTTTAGGGAAGTAAAAACTTCGGGACAAAAGTTAATTCTGTGCAGGTGCAAAGCTTCAACCTTTTTACTAAAGTCAGTGGGATTAAGTTAAAGTATGAAAGTGTCTTGGCAAATAGAGCCGTCGGGAATGATTGTCCTGCGTCTCGTTTAGACATACGAGAGGCGCAAACTTAGTGAACTACGCATCGGGACAGCCACGGAGTTTACATTTTGCACCTTCCGGAGGCCACAGTCATCTGAAAACCTCTGAAACTTTCAAACCCAATAGTGGATCATTTTGAAGCACAAAAAGCACCATCTCACCGCGCAAACCGCGTCTTTCTAGGACGAACCGTTTCGTCACAAAGGGGCAGGGACATCAAATTGTAACATTTCTGTAGAATGACCCGATTGCAAAGAGGCGGGATTTCGTGGGATTTCACGGATTTCGCAGAATTGCGCCGGATTTCAAGGATTGCGTAGATTGCGCCGGATCTCTTTAGATTACAGGCGATTTCAATGATTGTGGTCGGATTTCATAAGATTGCGATGGATTTCACAAGATTGCACTAACGCTGAATGCAAGATAATTCTGTTGGAACACGCGAGAAATACCGTTTATTTTCGTGGGTTGTCATTGTGTCTATTTTTTTCTTATTTTTTACAGACAGGGGGTCTTTTAAAGTATAGGTGGCAGTGCTTTGGTGTTTGGTGATTTAGTTGCTTACTATGAAAAACTTTGACAGCCAGCCACAGACTGAACTCCCAACTCCTATTAGTTCCAAAGTTATGAGGGTTTTAGTGTTAATTTAGTCGTTTGTCAAAAATTCTCCTTGCGATGAACCAAAAAGTTTACGGAAGTGTAATTTTTAAAATTAGAGCCCAAATAGACGTGCAAACAGACTAGCAAGGTCAGATTTGACTGTATATGCAAAGGGCAGCCGGAATCTTATTTTGAAAAATGTTTTTTTCCTTATTTTACTAAAATTGAAAAAATTTGGATTTTTTTTTTTTGAGAAAAATTCCTGTCATATGTTGGAAATTTGGAAATCCGGCTTTGCCTCGCGATAGGCAAATAAATAAACAACTTGTAAAACAAAAATGAAGTCTCGACAACTTTTGATTCTTCGCAAGGAGAATTTGGGAGAAACGACCAAATTTGTTACGTAAACTTCAATAACTCAGGAACTAATGGGAGTTGGGTACCTCAACTTTGGGTTTAAGTCCATCTTATCGTAAGCAACTAGAAACCAAAATACAAACATGATGCCTTCACTTTACAGTAACCTTAAAATTATTGCGAGACCGCTCCTTTTCTTACGTATTTATTGTTTGCTTTTTTTTGTGACCTAATATCCTGTCCGATGTCCCCGCGCCTGCAAGCGCAAACCGTTTTAGTGGGGCAGGGGCGGCTATTCAGTGAGGTCAGCACGGGGCAACTAATAACGAAGGAAAGGAGCGAGTGAGGAGGAATTATTGGCCGATAGACCCTGTCAGTCGTCACCCAGTGAAGAACATAAGTAATCAAAAATTAGGAACCAGATGCGCGCCACCTAGCGGCCACTGCTATGGACTTCGTCCAGACTTACGCTTGTGACCAATGAGGGTTCAGCTTTTGACAGTGCACAGTAACGGCCGCTAGGTGGCGCGCTACTGGTTCCTGTCTTTTTGATTACTTTTGTCCTTCTCCAGGCGATGACTGAAAGGGTCTATTGCAAGATTACAATGTTTTCGCTAAGATTGCGCAGGATTGCGGAAGATTTTGGAAGGATTTCGCGAGATTGCAGAGGATTTCGCGGAATTGCGGCAGATTGCAGAGGATTTCAAAGATTTCTGATGATTGTATGGATTTCGGAAGATTGCAAGGATTGCGGCCTGATTGCGACCCGGTGAACACATGATTGCGGGAGTCGCGGCCCCCTCGATCTGAACGCAGTCGAGCTCCCGGTGCAATATTGCAGAAAGACCAAAAAGCCCCTATCAAAAGTATAGGGGAAAGACACGGAATTATTACAGAAAAAAGCGGGATACGGAGCGTTACATTTTCATTCATACAGGCCCAGTAACTAACTCCCTTGCTATGAATTAAAACACGCCATTTGGTGTGAGCACCTGTTTTAAGATTCCTCAACACGTCCCGAAAGAATCATATCTTCGTTTGGCCTTGAACTTGCCCGGGGAACAGAAAAGCATTTTAAAATCATGGTCGGACACTACCGACACATGACCTATAAAACAAGATACTGAGCTTTCTATTAACTTCTCAGAGTTCCGGTTTGCACCATTCGACGGCAAAAATGCTACAGAATAATCTGACGACAAGGCCAAGAACTATTGTGGAGTGCAACGCGAGAAACCGTGATAATTCACATGTAACGTACCGCATAGTCAACCACGGAGGACATTTTGCGTTTACAGATTGCACCCAAATCGAGCTCATAGAAACGAGTCCAGTATCATGTGTATGATAGATAAAATAATAAAGTTTCCGAATATCTTCTCAGAATCGTTCTACGTTCCATATTAGCTGAAACATAAGCATCGAAACTTTGAATTTATGGACAGGGGACATGCCGGAACGTTACTAAACGACCCTTTGGAGCACTTTTCTGAATTGAAAAAGTGGTGACTTAAGATGGATAAGAGTGGGCGACGTCGAGCCCAAAACAACGCACCAAACCGCATCTCAATACGTTGAAAAATGACGATTATAGAGCCAAAAGTCACGAAAGATACCCTTATTTTGCCAACGGTTATCAATACCCAGACGCGTAAATTATAAAAAACAGACGGTGGATTGGTAGATTTGAGCCGGCTGAACCAAATACATAAGTCACAATTTACATTCATTAAATTTTAAATCCTAAAATTCAAGCGTGAAGTATTCCGACCAATCAGGGAGCGGCGTAACACAGCCTCACGGTTTTTAATGGAGCAGGCAGTCTATGTTTATGAGCAGTTGCCAAAATACCATCTTTTGTGTTTGGCGAGCCGAGGATATATCTGATAACATAAAAAATTTGAGCCGCATCGGCCGTGCCGTTTAGGAGGAGTACGTGTCTGGACATACAGACGGACAAGCAAACGGAGAAAGTTTTTCAACCCCGACCGAATAACGGGCTTCGCTAGCGCTCAGCCATTAAGTAATTTTTCTAGCTTCTGCAATTCTTACTCAGAATCTTTTGAAAATATTTGGAACAGTTCATAACCTTTACTTTAGCGACAATTGTATTGTGTAACGTTCTGACAGCAGTGTTAGCGGAATCTTATGTTACGGAGGGATCCTTACTCACAGGCAAAGTTGGAAGTTCCCTAACAATGTCTATATTTTGTTACCAGGGCCACTACGTCTTGAAGAATGAATCCGTTAACTGGATTTTTCCCAACGTTCCAATCTTGCCTTACGGACGCTATCGGTTCCGATACGTATCCCGAGTTGCAAATGATACTGACAGAATCCACGTCTGTGCGGAAGTTGACTGCCAAGTCATCCCGAGGCCATAGAGCGCACAAAATGTGTTGAGATAATACATTTAGGTTAGGCCAGGTTGACCATTATGTAAATTACCAATTTTAAATAAATTTTTAAGGATTTGGTGTTTTGTGCACATTCATGTTTCGTTACTCCACATACTTTCTTTTGCTGGTAGCATGATCCTGGAGGGCCGCACGAATATGAACAGGGGCTGGCAACAGCCTAGTGCGCGCGTGAAGCTATGCGCGCCGCTCGGGCCGGCAAGGCAAACAGAACTTTGTCAAAACTGCATCAAACTGAGTAAACGAGGTCATTTTTAGATTCTACGCAAAATTTCCTATCCGTGTGTGACAATGGAATGGACATTTGGATGTGTAAATCAGTTCTAAAATCAATGTGGAATCCAAATTTACGGCACCAGACAGCCGACTTGAAGTTTCCCTTTCACTAAAAAAGTTATTTCCGTTCGTTTTAGGTCCATACATGCAGCGAGCCGATTGTTGGCCACTATTTTCTGGGTTGCATGGTACATTTGGAACGCCAATGCGACGTCTGTAGCAGAAATGCCGATCCAAAAACTAATTTCCATTTTTGGTCCAAAATTGATTTTTGCAACTTTGGAGGTTAAAAGCACAGTTTCAAATAGGTTTCTCAGCGTTGTCAACCTCACTAAGCAACCCAGAATTCAATTCTCTATCGCCCTGCTGTGTTGGATTTGCAAAAGGAGGTCAAACTTCTAATTAAAACGAAAAGGCCCGAAGCGCTGCAAAACCGCCAAAACAGTTCAAGTATTTTGGGGAGCTTAATGTGTGAAAACTATTTCTCAGATAGTAAATCCAACCACACCACCTTGTAGGCCAGTCAATTCTACAGCTCCATTGTAAGTTTCATCGCAATCGGAATCCAAGAGTAAAGACAGCTAGAATCATTGAAAATCCCATCAGTTTGCTTGATTGGTCGAGCGGGTGCAAGTATGAGAAATCGCTGCGGCAGATTTCTGCAGCTAACTTTAAAATATATTCTGCCGCCTTACATGCACAAATACAGCAACAGTTCACTGGTGAAGGCCACTAAACTATTCCCTGAAACGTTTCCGGGCACAAAAAATTAGAAAATTTACGGGATTTTTTTTGACTTATTTACACCATACAGCGTCTGTTACGTACAAGCAAATTTGGTATTTCCTTACGAAGTAGATGGTTTATATAAAGTGTAATGATGTAATAGGCTGTAATCAGCCAGGACCCCGGCGTCGACGCCTGTTACTGCACTTTTGAAGCTTAAATTTGTTTATTTCGCATCCAAGCCCATTACATATGTTAGGATTTTTTGATTGTCCTGATCAGACGAATCGATTTCTATAAATAGATGTCAGTTTTGTCCACTTTGAAATTCTACCCAAACCACTTGAATGTAACGAACGTCGACGCAAATGTAACAAACGTCGACGCGCGTGTAACAAACGTCGACCCAAAGTACGCTTTCAACATTTAAGCCATTTGAAACAAAACTGGAACGAATTAAGCTTTGATATTTCTTGGGGACCATTCTAGAGCAATCTTGAATGAGCCTGCAAAATTTCATCCGAAAAGCCGCACATTAAAATCTAGGAAATCCCGTGCCTCTAAAGGTGGCCCCACAATGGCCGCGGACCGGGCCGGACGGCCGTCCGTCCGTCCGTCCGTCAAACCTCAATCACTCATTTCACTCATTCCAAGACAATATTCTCACACTGTAGTGGACATGGCCGATATTCATTGATAAATCGCTCACATGAAACCGAAAAGAACTGCCTTTTTATAGACTTTTGTTAGACTCTGCCCGACTGCGGGGCATTCGGCGCCAGGAGGTTGGCACTACGCACTGTCGCCGTGTCGTCGCTCTCTTGTTTGTTGTTTGCATTTCGTTTCGGCGCTTGGTGAAGTTCTAATTCACTAATTCACTTGTGGAGTGCAGTTCTTTCTTCTTGATTATAATGGCATCAGTCATCCAAAGACTTGTGCGAAGCTTTGCTCTTCTGCTCATTTTAAGGGCTAAACGGGGAGCCCCTATTATTGGAAACAGGCTAAGTACGTCACGGAGAATACAGCGTCGTTGCACTCCTTTTGTGTGGTTAAGTCATTTGTACTGAGTACTTTTTTTTTCAGGGTCAATCAAACGCCTTGCTGCGTACAACATTCTTAAACGTCAACATCTCCGCACGGTCTCACTAGTTCGCTTTCACCAACGGAATAGGCGGAGGCGTCGTCGATTTTCTGTATCACCCATTCTCGTGGATAGACCCATGTATGGAGCTTGGTTTACTCTGATTCCTGTTTTGAGAGAGTTTGACAAAGATGAGTACTTTAAGTTTATGAGAATGACTCCTGAGGCCTTCGATTGGTTATTGGAAAGAGTTTCTCCTCTGATAGTCAAAAGAAGCAATCGCCCAGCAATTTGTCCGGGTCAAAGGCTAGCTGTGACATTGAGGTGAAAATTGTTTGTGATTGTTTGTGCTCCTTGATTTTTGATGAATTTAAGTTAATGATTTATTTTAAATTCCAGATTCCTTGCTTCAGGAGACAGCATGGCATCCCTCTCTTACCTCTTCAGGATATCTGACCAAGCAATCTCCGATATTATTTTGGAAACAACAGCTGCCATTTGGTACGCCATCAAGGATGAAGTTTTTGAACCCCTCACTGAAGATTTGTGGAGGAAGAAGAGTGCAGAGTTCGAATCCATGTGGCAGTTCCCCAATTGTGTTGGAGCAGTAGATGGAAAACATTGCTTTGTTCAAGTAAGTTATTTAAAGTAGTTATGTTTGGGGGGTGCTTCATGTGTTGCAGAGAATATAAATTGTTCTTATTTTTCCAGAAATTTCCCATGAGAGGCTCTGAGCACTTCAATTATAAGTTTGGGCACAGCGTAATTCTCCTTGCAGTGAGTGATGCAAAGTACAAATTCACAATTGTTGATGTTGGAGCTAGAGGCCGTGAGAGTGATGGTGGTGTTTTTGCTCGTTCTGAGTTTGGGAGGCTTTTTAATGGACATGAACTTGGGCTTCCGCCTCCTTCATATTGTGAAACACTCATGACAGATTTGCCCTATGTGTTTGTAGGTGATGATGCTTTCCCCATCCACACACATATGTTGAAGCCTTTTGACATGAACTGGGGAGAGAAACCTGAGGAAACCATTTTTAATTATAGACTTTCACGAGCAAGGCGAGTTGTGGAAAATGCCTTTGGCATTTTAAGTGCTCGTTTCAGAGTATTGAGACGAAACATAATTGGCAGTGAGACGCTAGTGCAAAACTTGATTCTGGCATGCACTGCTCTCCATAACATGCACCTGATAAGAGAAGACAGTATCCCACCTCGACAACGTTTGTATTTACCGGAGGGGTATGCTGATGTGTACAGGTCGAATGGGCACTTGAAGAAGGGTCGCTGGAGGAATGAAGTGAAACATGAAGAAAGAAGTATCTTCCACCGGTTAGCAATGCAAGAAATGCCACATCATGTTGATGAAGAGGCTCACAGAGTAAGTGACAAGTTTGTGGAATATTGTGTCTATTCTCCTCTGCCATGGCAATATAATGTTCTACCTGAAGTTTGATATGTTTTTACATGTGTTCTGAACATTGTGAGTACTCTGAATCTAGATTTAATAGCTCTGTACAACGTGTGTTGATACTGTGTCTGAAGTGTTAATTAGTAATACTGTACTTATATAAATTAAAATTGTGAAATGTATATTATTCACTTTACATGTACGTAAAGTGTCAATGGCACTTACATCCAAAGATTTTGAACAATAAATAAATAGAACCTGGAGAATTTTATAAAACAAATGTTCTCATTTAATTATTTATATGTATATGTCAAGAAAATAAAATGTAACATCTTATTAGATCCGACTTTGGTAAAAACTAGGACCAGAATTATTATTAAAGTGTCAATGGCACTTACATTCAAAGAATTTAAAAAAAAGAAAATAGAACCTTGATAATTCTATAAAAGAAATCTACCTATTTTCATACATAGGTATATATACATGTCCATAAAACGAAATGTAACATCTTATTAGATCCATCTTTGGTACAAACTAGGACCACAATTATTATTTAAACAATAAGAATCAACAAAAGGAAAATGCTTCCGTCTTGACAAGCTCCAAGTATGTAACTAGCGTAGCTCGCTTGCTGCATTCAGGTAGTTGTCTAATTCATCTCCGCTGAAGTGACACACTTTGTTCACATACACAAACACTTCAGACATTAATTTTCCACTGACTGCACCTGGGACTCTCCTCAACAGGGATGCAATTGTTTCACCAAAGTTGCCATGCACATCTCTTTCCTTCTCTGTTAGGAACTGCCTCAGGATAGCCGTGTCTGCTCCCTCTGCAGCGGCCAGTTCTTGTGCATGGTCTGGCTGTGGACGGTGGCGCTGCTGTGCAGCCTCATGCTGACGACGGATGTTGTCTCTCAGGACCTCGCGGCGCCTCTCGTGTACCATCTGTACCTCGCGCTGTTCTCGTTCTCTTTCCTGAAAAATTTTAGGACATAGCTTAGTTATAAATTGGATTAAGATTTCCTTCATTCAGGATCTAAAAAAGTGTGGGTTTACCTCGTTTCGAAGTCGCCGGGCGTCAGCTCGTGTGCGTGCAGGAGGCTCCGCGTTCACAGGTGCCTGCCTGCGACGGCGAGGACCCCCTGGCTCTGGCATAGGCGGGGAAGTCCAGTGCCGGCTGAGCCTGCGGTTCCTGTTTTCTCGCCGTGTGGATCGAGGAGTGGCATTTGTGTGATTTGTCACCTCCTGAACCTCACGCCGCACAAGCGGAGAGAAAATATTGGCCGAAGGTGAGGCGTTATTCGCGTGCTCGGCGGGGGAGGAATGATCGGCCATTCTCATTTGTGGTTGAGGCCCTCGATTCGCGGGCCACACATGGTGGGTTGTCAGAGGCTGTGACGGCGGTGGTCCATCTCCAGCGGCGTGCATCGCATTCGGCTCCTGTTGCCCAGCGGGCCTAGGGGAAGAGGTGGCGGCAGGCTGGATGGGGTCGGAACCAGCAGAGCCACCAATCACGGTGTCCTGCTCTTCAATTGTTGCCAGCTGATCAGGCATGTCCGTTGCCACAAAATGTGGTCCACGGTTGCGCCTGGTCCTTCCACGGCGTGAGCCAGGTGTCCCGAAAGACGCGTTTGAGTTGAAGGAGGCGTTCAGATCGCGTCTATTCCTTGAGGGGTTGGAGGGAGAGAACCGGTTGGGCGGGCGAGTGTTGCGTCGAGCCCTTCCCATTGCCAGGCTCTGTGTACTGTCGACACTGTCGACACTCCCCACTGGACTGCTCGGCCGACGTGGAGATTTGTCCAAGGGTCCTAACGGGGCAGTCGTTGTGGTCCTGGGCGACGGCGGTGCACTACGGAGCTCCATCTCAGCCTCCCGCCTCTCGTTGGCAGCGTGGACTTCTTCACAGCAGTCTGAAAAAAGTAACAAGCCACACCATGTCATTATGTCGAACAAGATGCTTACGTCGCTCAGCAAATGTAGTCAATACTACGTACTTTGGGGTCGAGGCTGCTCCGCAAAGCGAATGCTGCTGGGGTTGACGGCGCCTTGGAGGTTGCGCTCCGCCAGGTCGTCGACGTCATCCTCGTCGTCGTAGCCGCCCTCGTCGTCGACGTCATCCTCGTCGTCCTCTGCCGGTTCACGACGAAGGTTGGACTCCCGGCGGCTCGACATGTCTTTCCCCACTTCGTCAAGCCAAGCCATGTCGTCCCCTTGAAAGTTCTGAGCGGGTCCTCCCCCCGGCGCCCCACTCTTACACTTCCCCATCTTCCGCCTCTTCCTTTTCCCCCTGTTCTCCCTCAGTCTGGTGAAGGTTTGGGAACAGAAATTCGCTGCATCGGGAAAAAGGAAGGTCAAGTAGAGTCAACTCCAAGTACAAAAGCGTACCATAATTTTCGAGGTTATACTCACGATGAATGTTGCCTACGAACTTCGCTGCTATTTCTATCCATGCCTTTCGTCTTAAATCTCGTTTGTGATGGTCCTTCAGGGTGTGGTCCCAAATTACAGGCCATTCCCGGACAGCCTCGATAAGGGCCTGGTCCGAATACGGAATTTTCGCAGTCTCCATTACTCTTTGCACTTCTCCTAATCTCTGGTTTGAACTTCACCAAGCGCCGAAACGAAATGCAAACAACAAACAAGAGAGCGACGACACGGCGACAGTGCGTAGTGCCAACCTCCTAGCGCCGAATGCCCCGCAGTCGGGCAGAGTCTAACAAAAGTCTATAAAAAGGCAGTTCTTTTCGGTTTCATGTGAGCGATTTATCAATGAATATCGGCCATGTCCACTACAGTGAGAGAATATTGTCTTGGAATGAGTGAAATGAGTGATTGAGGTTTGACGGACGGACGGACGGACGGCCGTCCGGCCCGGTCCGCGGCCATTGTGGGGCCACCTTAATACCCACATCTCGGCGAACCAATCCTTATCAAGCATAATCTGGTTGCGCTTGAAATCAAGCGTAACAGGCTCATCTTCTACAGTCTGTCTCAGGTCGGAACGAGCCTGGCGAGGTTCACTTGCCTCCTCAGCAACTGCAGCAACACCTCTGAAATGAAAAGGGACAGACCCTTCGCAGCGGGGGTTCGGCACAGGCCGCTGCCACCCTCAATAGCAGGTAGCCGCACTACCGCTGCAACAACGCGACCGTCTCCAGGCTCGTTCCGACCTGAGACAGACTGTAGGATTCCCCCTATCTAAATGCATGGGAGAAATTCTAGTCTAGGCTTGACTTCAAGCGTAACTTTAAGCTTGACTCAAGCATCAAGCGTAACTTTAAGCTTGACTCAAGCATCAAGCGTAACTTTAGGCTTGACTCAAGCATAGAGTTGCGCTTGCGTTTTACCAGTGTATTTCCAGGAAAAATGTAGAAAGTGTAAGATGCCGAATGGCACACTTGAGTTTATATCCATTATTGTTCCAGAATAGAACAAAACAAAACTTCATGAAAAACAGTAATAAAAAGTACAATTTTTTTCAAATGTGTTTACTGCAGCAATAAGGTAACAAGGTAGGTTTACGCCAGACCGCGTCTTGTCGTAACAGGCTTCGCGATGTCTCGCGGCCTGTTCCTCCAATCCGCGCCTGGCGTACCTGCCTTGGCCTGCGGCGCTAGCCTGCCTTCGGCATGCATTGGCTCGTCCATCGTCGGTTACTTCTTACTTGTTGCGTGCTGGGACCCCCCCTCCATTCCCGATAGAGTTGCTTCATCTACAGATAACACGATCTTGACCCTTGTAACTTCTTAACTTGTCGGGGATGGGAGGCTCCGCCCCCAGACCCCCCTTTCTTCAAGGCAGATGTGATCTGCCTGCATAAAACTCGATTTTTCGCCGTTTTTAGCAGATGATACCTTAACACTTGAATCATACTTAAAACTACTATACACCAATGAAGGTGTCAGCGTGCTTTTACTCTCGAGTCCAGAAACCAAGCGCGTATCCTAACAATACAAGGTAGGTTTACGCCAGACCGCGTCTTGTCGTAACAGGCTTCGCGATGTCTCGCTGCCTGTTCCTCCAATCCGCGCCTGGCGTACCTACCTTGGCCTGCGGCGCTAGCCTGCCTTCTGTTGGGATATGAGCAATTTCTCATACATGGAGAAGAAAACTCTCATAGTGTAAGTGGCAACTATGTACTCTGATAAGTGTATGTGGCAACTATGTAACTGCTGGAGAAGTGGTTAGTTTCCGCTTCCTGCACTCACTGTCTTACTGGACATGTACTGTACTGGTTGTGTGTGAGCAAAGTAAAATTAAAATCAAAGTGCATCCAAAGTCTGAGTTTCTCCTTCACCCAAAATACCTGATATAACAACAGGTTATGGGCCCAGGAGCTTCATACTGCGCTAAATGAAGAGTTTTTGTTGGACTATAAGTGTGTGAACTGCTGAAAACTGTGTGACACGTGTGATATTGAAGAAAGTGAGGTTAGGGTGTGTGTGTTTTAGTGCATTTGTTAAGACTTAGTTCAGGCTACAAAGTAAGACCTGCTTCTAAGCCCCAGGATATTAAGACTTAGTACAGGCGATTGATAAGACCTGTGCCTAAGCGCTGAGTTCATGTAAGACTTAGTTCAGGCGACTGATAAGACCTGCTTCTGAGCGTTGGTAAGAGTTCATGTGAGACTTAGTTCAGGCGACTGATGAGACCTGCTTCTAAGCGTTGGTAAGACTTGGGTCGTGCAGTGCAGTACATAAGACGCGCTCCCAAGCACCTAGACAAAAAGTTAAAATGGAGGCCTCTCTTCAGGAGTTACTCATGTTTAACGGAGAGGGGTATGATGACTGGAGCTGCAGGATGAAAGGCTTTCTGGAAAGCAAAGATCTGGCCATCTTTATTGAAAAGAGTTTGTCCGAGTTGGTGGGTGAGCATGCTGTCGCTCCGGACGACAGCAATGCCGCCAAGAAGAGGAAGGAGGAAGAGATTAAAGACTTAAGAAGGAAAGAAGGGATGTGTGCAGGTGAACTAACTATGAGAATGGGGAAAAGCGCATTCGAGCTGGTAAAAGGGCTGGATGGAGCTAAGACAATTTGGGACGCCCTTCAGGAGAGGTACAAGGGAGTCAGTGCGGGGACTCGCTTGCTTCTTTCCAAGAAATACCACCTCCTGAAATACCGACCTCAAGAGATGTCGTTTAACGACTATGTGACTAAATTTGACTCTTTAGTGCGGGAGCTGAGGGAGGCAGGTTCAGAAATGTCCGGACGTTGTGACCAGATTCATCTGGACCCTTCCTCAGGAGTATGAGGGGGTCATAACCTCTCCACGGACAGTTGACAGCGACCGACTCACGCTGTCCTACGTGAGGGGTTTGATCGAGGAGTTTGAGTTGACGCGGCAAGCGTGGGGGGTGAGAAGAAGTGGGGGAGGTGGAAAGGCTGCGCCTCCTAGCACGGCGTTCTCGGCGGCCCGGCCTCGCCCGTACGACACCAACCGGGCCTGCAACAACTGCGGCAGGCTCAACCACATCTGGAGGGACTGCTGGCGGTTTGGCGGTGGAGCCTACAAAGGGGTTGAGACCTCCCGCGGCGGCCATCACCAGCACTCAACCGGGCGCGGCGGAGCTCCAGCCCGTAGCGGACGCGATGGCGGCGCCTCCCAGCCCCCGTCCCAACCGTTCCAACATGGCGGCCCTTCCCGCGGCGGCGGACACTTCCGGGGAGGATATCGAGGCGGCAGTGGCGCGCCACATTACACTCCGTTCCACACTTGTGCACCAGCCCGGGACAAGGCCCGGGAGGGACCCCCGTAGCGAGGCTACTATAGCCACTATGACAAAGTCGGCCGGGTGCAGCAGCGCGGGTTTGAATTTGAGTGAACCAGGCGGCTAAGGCCCGTTTTCACCACCCCAGCTAATCAGCTTTTCCCAAATTAGCCATCAAGAGGAATCCAGACGCTGACGCTAGTAGCATGGAGCCGATTTTCTGCTCGTGCCGGCAGGTGGAATTTGGGTAAGTAGCGCAATTTAATAAAGCACTTTGAGTAACGGGCTAGTGGCATGGCCTTGGCCTTAGGCTGAGCATGCATAGCTAGCAAGGAAGAACAATTCCAAGTGATTTGAATTTAATTTATGATTTTTTTACAGTTTTATGATAGAATGCGAGCGATGCAAAGAGTGGTTTCACACCGAGTGTGTGGGCCTCAACAAGGTTACAGGTTAGATTTTTAAAATGTAAAGTCGCCCTCATCTCCCAGCAATTTCTTAATTTCATTCAAAACAGTATTTTATCCTATTATCTGACGCGGATTGCAAATTTCTTTAAACCAGTGTTTTCTGATTTGAGTAATTAATTACTAAACAAAGTAAAGCGATGCTATAAACTGTCTTTTTTCTCTTTGCCAGCGGTAGCACTAGACCGTTGGTGTTGCTTCACCTGTACGAGGATTGATAACTCTGTGAACCCAGTGAAAAATGAGCTTCATAACATGGTGGAGAATGTTAAAATGATTGAAAAACAGCTGGATGACCTTGCCAAGGTAAGATGTTTTTTCTGTCTGCTTTTGGCGGGGAATATCCTTACTCCCAGCTTCCCATTTTTCGTTTCCTTACCTTGCTTCCATTTTTTATAATTCTTTTTCTACTTCACAGGAAACTGCTGGTAACCAAAAATTAGCAGAAGAAAATCAAGAGCTAAGAAATGAAATTGAAACATTGAAGAAGGGGATGGATGATGTGTTGAAGAGTAAAGAAGAAACCGAAAAGAAAAATTTAGAGTTAATGAATGCTAATCAAGAATTTATGAATAAATATGAAATGAAGTTGCAGGAATACGAAGAGTTAAGGCATAAGAATCTGGAGCTGAAAACGGTTATTGAAACATTAAACAAGCTAGGGCCCGCCCTTCCGTCGAACCGAGTTGCCAGCTCCGCTTCGCTGCGCCGGCAACTCGGTTCGACAGGGGGCCGGCCCAGCTTGGCCTGCCGGCGGCCTTTTCTCGGGCCTTCGGCCCTCGCATCAGACCCAACTTGGCCAGTCGAAGGCCCGGGCCTTCGGCCCGCTCGCATCACACACACCGTGAGCGGGTAAAGGAAAGTTATCGATGTACCATCGTGACTTAGGCCCGCCCTTCTATTCACAATATGCAATAGTCCTTACACTTTTTACTCCAACTGTCCTTAGAATATGCCCGTTTCATTTGTCTCTTCGCCCTCATTCCGAAATACCCATATTTGCCATGCTACTGCAACTCCTTGCAATAGAGGCACAGCAGGAGCGCAAAACGAGTCCGTCGCACTTTTTCCCATAACTCATGAAGGCGGGCTCCTGGACCCCACTTCCGACCCCTCGTTGAAGAGGTCTTGCCAAGACCTATCCAAAACTTAAGTAAAAATTTTCAGTCGGTCGAGCCCTCTTTTTCAAGATCCTGATGTGACTAATAGTGTAATGTTAGCTTTGAGGGTAGGTAACTGAAGAGAAGACGTAGATGTTAGCTGATTTAATGAGGCTAAGGCAGGATCCAATACAATGGCTAGAGACGATCCAAACGCGGCGGGCCACCGCTTGCTAACAAAGCTACTGCTTCTGTTGAGGCCGATATGAGAAGCGCGCGCTGCACGCGGCTATGACAATGCCAGCTGAACGCTGGAGGCTATAATACTACAATAGACGAAGTCGGGCTCCTGGACCCCCTTTCCGACCCCTCGTTGAAAAGGTCTTGCTGAGACCAATCGAAATCTGCAATAAATTTTTTTAGTCGGTCGACCCCCTTTTATGAAGATCCTGATCTGGCCAACTTGTAAAAGCGGCCGATGGGGTCGGGACCAGGTCCATTCATCTTGTCTCGTCGCCCCGATTCCAAAAATACCCCTATGTGCCCTGCTAGCACCAATAATGGCGGAAATCCCCCTCCCGCTCATGTAAACCATGATGCACCTGCAGCAGCCCTTGTGCGACCCGGACGGGATTTGCACCACCGGATTATTTGTTTGGACGGTACTCCTGAAGTACCCTCCAAATCTGGTTACTCTAGCTCAACTCCTTCCTTGTACACAGACGCCAACAACAACAACAACAACACACAGACACAAAGGCAAATGCATAGGCCCTCCCCCTATTTTTTGAATAGAAGGGCGGGCCAAAAAACATGAAGCATTAGACTTACCTTGAAGTGAGTGAGGATGTCCGACTTCATTAATCTCCAAGTTTTTTTGAACACCCTGTTTCTATCAAGTTCAAGCTCGGTGATATCTTTCTTTTCCATCACCATACGGTGTGCACAATGTTTGATAAAGCTAGTACTGGCCTTCTTTCGCCATGCAGCTTCGATGTCTTTAATGAAGTCCCGGGGGACTTCAAAGTCATCCTTGTAAGAAAGCTGAATGGCCTGCTTCATCTCGGCCTCCATATCCTCCCGGTCAGGCAGGTCATGTCCCTCCGTAATGGGGAACACCTCCATTAACTTTGTTTCCATCAGGGTTCTTAATTTTTGCATCCTTGCAATGGATTGGACAGCATTAGTTTGTTTTACTGATTCATTGTGGTTTGGGAGAACGAATTTGCAAATAAAAAAAACACTTGAGGTTTGTCTTTTTTTTTACGAAATAAGGCCACCGTAAACCGGGGTAACTTGAGACAGCAAGGGTAACTTGAGACACTTCTGCTTTTCCACCTTTTTGGAGCTGCCACCTGGCTCGGCACATTCGGAGGTCAAAACTGCCCTAGCACTTTTTTTCATACTTGTTTGGAAAGACGATTAAGCGTGTGAACGGCGGGTTGGGACCAAGCTGGTCAGATCTAGAACGATTTTTCAATTATAGTAAATTTAACAATTTTAGAGAAGTGTTACAAGTCTCCCTTGGTACTCGAAACACGTCTTGCTGAGACCCAAATGACTGTAGTACCTTTCAACCCTATTATTTCAACATTCTAAATGCAGCATTGGTTTTGAGGGAAACCCATCATTCATCGGGTAATACTGACTTTTATAGAAAATCGTAACTGTGCGGGGTAACTTGAGACACCAAATTTCATCGAATTTAACGGAAGTTGAGTGGCGTAATTTGACACTGGCACCTCCTTGTACTACAGGGTGGTTTTAAGTAACGGACCTCTCCGTTCTAAGATCAAAACCAAGCCGCATTTGATCGCAAATCACTTTTTTAGACAGTGTAGAGGGTCCCAAGTGGATATGCAGCTTAAAGTTGGAGTGTTTTCTCAACTACACACGGACCAGATGAGATAAAATAAATCTTGAAGTCTCAAAAGATGAGGAATTTCATTCCCTTTCCAACGAGCTATATGTCATTGAAATCGGACAACTTATAGCCCAAGAACCGTCGATTTTTGGAAGAAAAACAACTGTAAAAATAGTTTAAGGATTTTGAGTAAATTTTAAAAATTGACTAAGACTATACACCTTAGCAGGAATGGACTTGTGTACGTAAAATAAAGAAAAATGTCTGAACAGGTGTCAGGGTTGGATGTGAGAGAATCGCTGTACTTAGTTGACAGAGTTGGATGTGAAATGGGAGAATCGTTGTGCTTCTGAAGTGCCGTTATCCCTCAAATTACCAAATGTAACCTTCATGAAAAAATCTGAATATAAGGTTCAAAAATCTTCTAATGTATTCCACAAGTAGTACTTTTCATTGAAAATGAGTTAAATGTCTCAGAAAGTCAGTATGGACTGCACTGTAAAAAAAATTCTGAAATTTCAGTACAATTTGTTTAGACTTTGCAGTCTGAATCGGTAATTCAGAAAGTTGCTTTGAATTTTCAGACTAGGAACTCTGAAATTTGAGATCACACCGGTTAGTCTGAATTCTAAGCAGAAGGTCTGAAAATTCTGATAAAGTTTTCAGACTTGTCATGCTGAAACCTGTTTTCATAATTTTGGTATGAAAATTTTGACAGATTGTCTACTAATCAAGTCTAGGCGTAAGGCGTTGTATAAATTTATCGGAAATAATAATGTACACCCGTGCTTCACGCAGATTCGTCTGTGTAAGGTAGATTAACCGTAAGAGTTGTCCGAACTTGCATTCTGGACTTGCCGAAAGGAGCTGGTATCCTCTGAAGAGAGTCACGCGGCACGGCTTCCCCCGCCGACAGGCAGCGCCCGTAGCGCAGTGGTACCGAGCTCGTCTCGTTACCAAAAAGTCCCGGTTCGAACCCGGGCCGAAGCGAACAAGTGAAAAGTAGAAAGGAGGTACCGTCACACGTTGGTGGTTCATATTGTTCTCTTGTTGATTTCTTTCTCTTTGATTTGTAGATGGCACTTTTATTTAATATTTCAGAGTAGCAGTCTGAAAATGTTTTTCAGACAAGTTGTCTGAATTTGGAATTCAGACAGAATGGTCTGAATAATTACTCAGAATTTTCAGACCACTAGTCTGTTTAAAAACTTCAGACTAAAATTATGAAATTTCAGTAATACTTTTTTTACAGTGTGGCAAAAACCCCACTTCCGTGAAAAAGCAAAGTAAAAACTAGGTGTGTCTCAAGTTACCCCATATGACGGGGTAACTTGAGACAACTTTAGAGGCCCATTTCTCTCATTTTAGGAGACCCCCAAAAAATTCGTGGGGTCCAAACCGAATGTAATCATGTGAAATAAAACATAGTTGGGATTCGGGTTGGTGAGAGAAGTTTTGTGGACACACGGTCCAAAAAACGTGAAATATTGTCTCAAGTTACCCCGGTTTACGGCACCTAAAAAAAAGTTAATGTGACTGACCTTCGGTTTTCCTGTGTATCGGAATGGTCCAATGCACAGGTTGCATACTTCTGCGTTTTCGGACTTAAGTCAAACTTGTTTGTTGCTACCGTGGTTCTTATAGGGCGGGCGGTCACTCCGGCTTCCGGAAACCTCTGGTGGTAGTAGGTGTAGACATCTGTTAATTCATGCCCAGCTGAATTGACAATGAAGCGGTCTGATGGGATGGGAACTCCAGGTTTTAGTACCATTTTCTGCCGAACCTGCAACAGAGGTAAGAAATTTCACAATCATTAAACTATTTCATTTCTTTTTTTAAGCGCTTAATTTCATTTCTTTCTTGTTTCAGGTTCACTTACCGCCAGGTACACCCAGGGAAGTGAGATCTTGAATCAAGAGTAGAACAATACTTGGATTTTTGTGAAGTTGAATCAAGAACCAAATGTTCTTGATCTAAGTTCAAATGAACCAAGTAGAAGTGCATCATCAGCGACGTTCACCTGAACAATACGTTCGGGTAAAATTGGACCCTCCGAATGGGAGTTGAACCCGGGAACATACATTCCAAATGCAGCAGCGCGTCCCACTGCGCCACCGTCTTAGCTGCAGGAGAGAGGTCCACCGGGGTGTTTTGCTAGGCGCAAGGCGCGGGTCGGTTCGAACTTTTCCGCACAGTCCCTAAGCACCTCTGCTAACGACGAGCTCCTACCACGCCTTCGCAGTGTAGCGGTTAGAGGGCTCAACATACAAGTTAGAACTTCGGGTTCGAATACCAATCAGCAATTCATTTCTTTGCTGTAGGGTAAACTATACAGTTATCGGCAGGGGTACAGTTATCGTCATCTCGGCGAATAATTGGGTCCTGCTCTGCAAGTACGCGTCCGTTAGTGATGCGGCCAATGCAGGTCGCTAGAGACACCTTTTGAGCATGCAGGACCGAGACAGCATCGCGTTTGATTGAGCATGTCAGCCAACAGAGCCACGTTTCTAGTCAAGTGCAGAATGAGGCCGCTTCGGCCGCCCGTTCTTATCTTCTATGATAAGAACAGGGGTTCAATCTTTAGTTAAATTCGTGAATGTGGGCCGGCAGAAACTATACTCTTTGCCAGGTTCCTTCTCCTCATCTATTGAAGAGGGCATACTGTGCTTGGTGCACAGAAATTCCTCTTGCTTGCCCCCATTCGGGGGGTGCCGATAACTGCACCAGAGAAATCACCGCAAACACAGTTATCGTCAGGGTGGCCTCAAACTTCACTGGTGTTTCCGGCGTCGTCCGGGAGTTAATATTCTGATGCATTATGACCGTAGGAAGACCCCTGCCAAATTTGAATGAAATCGGACCACTTTTTCCCAGTGATCTACGTGATTTAGGAAATGTTCTCCTCGGCGCTTTGAAAGGTTTTTCGCAGCTCATGGTGCTAGTTGTCCGTTAGTCTAAAATGAAGGGCGCAAGAGGCATAACAGAAGGAAGAGGGGGTTCGTGACATGCTCAGGGGTGATATAGAGTGTCTGTGACGACTGTTAGAAATTTTCGTCACTTTCGGTCATGTTTTGCCTTTTTAACAAGGGGTGCCGATAACTGTCTTAAAGGGTGCCGATAACTGTATTTTGGCTGCCGGTAACTGTGTTTTTGGTAACCTTTTTCTCACATTAAATAAGAGCGTCACAAAAAGTTTTTGGTGAAATCTTTTGTCAGCCACTTCGTTGTCTAGATCCTTCTGAGGTGTCTGAAACAAGTCGCACGGGTCTAAGTGTCATAACCTACCCTAGAGGCCCTTGAAAAGAAAGCGATGCTCTTAAACTGACGGTAACTGTATAGTTTACCCTATGTTGCGGCTCCAGCTTTTTTTGGGGAAGGGGGGGGGGGCAGGAGGACCTTGTATGCCTGCGTCACTACTCCAAACTCCTCTTTCCGGCATAAAAATGTGACAGCTTGACCGGGGATCGAACATCCGCCAAACTGCGGGATTCCGGAAAACCGTGTCAGGTACCCGACTGTAAGGCTCATGCCTTGGGTTCAATTCCCGGCGGATTTGCTTCCTTTTACAGTCTGAAACTTTCTATTCATATCCCATCGCAAAGTGGTCAAAATTTTAAGTGCCAAAAATAGATTGTTCCAAAAGATGTCACCGCTCGGATCCCTTTCCCACCAGTATTTGATACCGGCGGTCCATTCCCTCAGTTTCAATAGAACCAACCAAGAGAAAACTGGGTACGCTTTGACGGGAATCGAACCCCCGACAAACCCGGCTTACTATCCAGCCTCCAGGCACGGATCCACTGAGCAACCGTGACAACTGTTGAGAGCTGAGCTGAAACAGGCTGTGTCTGCACGCCAGATGACGTCATAATCATGTTGTCAGAACGTTGTCGGAATCAAGTGGTTTCGACTCGAATCAAGGACAATTTTATACTTGACTGTTCCAAGAATTTTCTTCTCGAACGTCAGTGGCCGTATAAATTTCTCATATCCCAGACAAGTACAGCAAATGCTTGATTTTAAGCATAAATATTCATTGGTGCAAGATAATTTATCTTAAAGCAAGTACAAAATCACCTTGTTCCGATAAAAATTTGATCTTGACTTATCGTGTCACACGACCAAGTAAAAAGTGTACTTGGATTGAGAAGATTATAGGGATGTGCGAATCAAGGATTTTCATTTCGAATCGAATCTTTCAAAAAAGTTTCGAATCGAATCGAATCTGGAAAAATTTGTCGAATCGAATCGAACTTATAAGGATTCAGAATCGAATCGAATTCGAACTGAAACTAGAAAAAATTAGTGCATTTCAATACACAAAACACATGTAATATAGGAAGGGCATAGAGTATGAATACAAAAAAGAAGAAAAGTTGAATACCTGATCTTGCTTTTGTATAAAAACTACGCTGTGCACGCGACTTTCAACCGTTCCCGAGCTACGGATTCGAAGACGAAGCACTGTCGATTCGAAATTTCGAATATTCGGGGTCGAAGCAAAGCGATCCGTCCCCGAATCGAATCGAATCGGCCCTGATTCGATTCGATTCGATACCGAACTATTCGCACATCCCTAGAAGATTATCCACTTGGCACAAACAAGTGCAAATTATTCTTGGACCAAGTAGATTTTACTTAAATCAAGAAATCGTTTCCCTGGGTGTACCTATCCCATAGGTCGAAGTCCCGCTCTGGGATGGGAAATGTGGAGGCCTTATTTTCCCCTGTCTTGTGAATAGCTACGCTCACGGTTCTTTTCATGTGTTTGGTGTAAAGGGGGCTCTGACTGTGAATATATTCTTCGACTCGGAGGCCGTGAGCGGTGGGAACTGGGAACCCTTTTCCCAACTGACACCATGTAGAGAATAAACCATTTGCCAATAAAGGCTAGAGGGGTGGACAGGGAGAGGGGCGTTTTTCCCCGCTCGCTGCAGAGGAAGTATCCCTTCTTTTCAACTTCGTCCTCAAGTTTCTTCAAATCTTTCAAAAGCCTTGGGATCTCAGACTCCAGAAAGTCCGACATATGCGTGAGATAGACATAGGTGTCGGCTTTTAAGACCTTCACTTCTCTCACATATCTGTCAACTTTTTTCTGGGATTCATTCTTGACAATCTTACTTTTAAACATCTGATATACGAGTGTAAAGTCGCCGTGATATTTGGCTAAGGAGGGATCACCCAGGAGCTCTTTGGCGATAGCTCTGATTCCTTTGGTATTGGAATAAACTGTTTCAGGCTGCAGGTAAGAAACCATCACCAGTTGGCTTCGGTGTTTGCAATATCACATATCTTTCTTTGAGTAACGCAGTTTCTTCGAAGCGCTCGAATGGTTCCAGTCCAGGCTTTTTAAAATCAACGTAACCCAGACGTGCATTCAACATTTGGAGCACCTTTGGCCAACTCCTTGAGCTGAGCCTCCTGCAAATAAAGGACCGTCACAGAGTTAAAACAGCAGGGAACTTATTAGCAAAACTGCGTATAATTTATTTGTTTATTTACAGGTACAGATGGTTGAGATGGATCTGGGGAAGCTTGGGAAGCTTGACTTGCCATTTTCTGAATTTCCTCAGTGACAGACGTGCATTCAACATTTGGAGCACCTTTGGCCAACTCCTTGAGCTTAGCCTCCTGCAAATAAAGGACCGTCACAGAGTTAAAACAGCATGGAACTTATTTGCAAAACTGCGTATAATTTATTTGTTTATTTACAGGTACAGATGGTTGAGATGGATCTGGGGAAGCTTGGGAAGCTTGGCTTGTCACTTTCTGACTCCTCATTGACAGACGTACATTGTTCAGGGGGCCGGCCCAGCTTGGCCTGCCGGCGGCCTTTTCTCAGGCCTTCGGCCCTCGCATCAGACCCAACGTGGCCAGTCGAAGGCCCGGGCCTTCGGCCCGCTCGCATCACACACACCGTGAGCGGGTAAAGCAAAGTTATCGATGTACCATCGTGACTTAGGCCCGCCCTTCTATTCACAATATGCAATAGTCCTTACACTTTTTACTCCAACTGTCCTTAGAATATGCCCGTTTCATTTGTCTCTTCGCCCTCATTCCGAAAATACCCATATTTGCCATGCTACTGCAACTCCTTGCAATAGAGGCACAGCAGGAGCGCAATACGAGTCCGTCGCACTTTTTCCCATAACTCACGAAGGTGGGCTCCTGGACCCCACTTCCGACCCCTCGTTGAAGAGGTCTTGCCAAGACCTATCCAAAACTTAAGTAAAAATTTTCAGTCGGTCGACCCACTTTTTTCAAGATCCTGATGTGACTAATAGACAAAGTCGGGCTCCTGGACCCCCTTTCCGACCCCTCGTTGAAAAGGTCTTGCTGAGACCAATCGAAATCTGCAATAAATTTTTTTAGTCGGTCGACCTCTTTTTTTGAAGATCCTGATGTGGCCAACGTGTAAAAGCGGCCGATGGGGTCGGGACCAGGTCCATTCATCTTGTCTCGTCGCCCCGATTCCAAAAATACCCCTATGTGCCCTGCTAGCACCAATAATGGCGGAAATCACCCTCCCGCTAATGTAAACCATGATGCACCTGCAGCAGCCCTTGTGCGACCCTGACGGGATTTGCACCACCGGATTATTTGTTGGGACGGTACTCCTGAAGTACCCTCCAAATCTGGTGACTCTAGCTCAACTCCTTCCTTGTACACAGACGCCAACAACAACAACAACAACACACAGACACAAAGGCAAATGCATAGGCCCTCCCCCTATTTTTTGAATAGAAGGGCGGGCCAAAAAGGAAATGAATGATGATGCATTGAACAGTGAAGAATTAAAAAGGAAGAACTTGGAGTTAATGAATGCCAATCAAGAATTCGTGAATAGAGATGAAAGAAAGTCAAAGGAAAATGAA